GTTTATATATTTACAATGGCAGCTATACAAAGGGAAAATATTCTTGCAACAATGTGGCCATCTAAAAGTTTACAGCAGCATAACAAAGGCATGACATAACAGTGTGTTATCAGCTGGTGTCCACGGCCCTTAGGATTTCCCTGTAAGTTGTTACCTGTGTGATCAGGTGTCATAGTGTTTCCACACTGGTTTGTTGTGTTGTGTGACCATGGAGACACCAAGTCTTGCCTAACACAGATTACCATCATGATGAAACACACCTCACCAGGGATCAAGCATTCTCATAATCATGAATCTTTGAGAAGATTTGAAAATAACAATTCTGAGCATTCATGTCAGGACTCGATATGCTGGTGATTTTGACAGAGACAGATGCCATTAGGAAATTATAGAACATTTGTTAAAAGATTGTTGATCCTCTGTTTTTGTTAAACAATATACATTTGTAATTTAGACCTAAGCCAAGCATTTCAAACCCGTTCTCCAGTTATGTTATTGTAGCTATTGGTCATGTAGCATTTAAGACTATGCAACTTAAATTTATGGTCAGAGATTGAGCTGTAGAGAACAGACTTAGTTCAAATGTCCCAGAAAATAAACTTCTTCGATAATATTTTTATGGTTATATTGCCAGTTTTGGATGCTCTTTCTACACTGCTGTGTTTATTGTAAAAAGATCTGTAATATGCACTACAAAATACTGATCATGCTGATTGTCATGTAAATATCCTGACTTAGTACCTAGGGGTGAAACGATACATCGGTGCACATTTCTGTATCGATACACGACGATACATCTTTTGCTGAAATAGATTACTTACTATTTTAATGAAATCCAGCGTTTTTTGTCAGTCAGATATTGCAAAATGTGTTATAAATTAGTGTTACATGTTCACTAAAGAAATAGCACTTACGAACATGAGTCTACAGAGAGCTTTACCTTTTGAACCTGCTCTGAAATATTTATTGTCAAGCCGTTTCCATACGATTTGAGGTATCGTATTGTATTGTGACCAGTGTATCGTGACCTTGCTGTATCATTTCACCCCTATTAGTGCCAGGTTCTACTAGTAATAGTTATACCTTGGCAATCAGCATGATCATTGTTAAGTAAAATAAGAGAAAGTGCTAGACATTTGTATCAAACATTTACAGGTTGCTAAACCTTTCATGGATGACAGGTTTAGTACCTGCTACCCTTTATTGGCTATTCTTTTATCATCTGTTGTTGCAGTGTCGTATTTCAGTTTCCTCAAAATTCCACAAATACCTACACAGGCTAACTTTGGGGATATCTTGTATATACATCACTGATCAGGTACATTAGACTATCATAGAGTATCTTGAACTCAATCTTCACACTTATTAATCATGTTAGATGGACATTGATTGGTTCAAGGCTTTCTGAATCCATGAGTTTGCCTTTTTATTTAAGTCACTTGGTTGCCACATTTGGTTCATTGTTTGTTTGTTTAACGCTGCACACAGCAATGTTATAGATATATGATGGCGGTCTGTAAATAATCGAGTCTGGACCAGGCAATCCACTGATTGACATCATGAGCATCGATCCATGCAATTGGGATACGACGACATGCATCAACCAAGTCAGTGAGTCTGACCACCCGATCCTGTTTGTCGCCTCTTACGACAAGCATAGTCACATCTTACGGCAAGTATGGGTTGCTGAAGACCTATACTACCCTGGATCTTCAAGGGTCCAAAACTGTAGGTTTGATGATGACCATGATGACAGGTATAAGATTTGAGAAATGTTTAAGCATGTTATGGTTATTTGGTATGGTAAAATAATTGTTTGTTGGGTGAATAGAGGAGTAATGAATGATTAGGGGAGTGACAAGTCAAACATGTTAAACGGTTACTTTCTTTCATCATCAAGATTAGATACCTGATTCAACCATGTCAACAAGAAAGAAAAACCCAACTGTTCTCAAGATTTTAGTTTTGTCCACATTTGTGAAATTTTGGAAAACCATGTGAACCATGAAAACCCTAAGCATTTGTTTCAATCAAATCATATTCATATGTTGCATAAATTGTATGTCAGATTTGTATGTAGTGGCTGTGTGAAGTAACGTTCAAGTAGACACTGAAGTCCCTGCCCACCTATCTCTCTCCCTCAGCTCTAGTGTTATCAGCCCACAGAGAGATGTGGAAGTGTGTTGGTGTTACCTTCACATTAAACATGTTAAATGCTTAGTGCTACACCTACGTGTGCCTGTTACCTAAATTTAGCTCACAGGGAATTGGCGCTCTATTTTTTCTTGCATTCCAGTCTTCGTCTAAGAAAAGCACAGGTTGTTTATCTGCTTGTTTATTGAGTGCATCTGAACATTCTCTTGCTGTAATTTTGCTAGGGAGAGTTGAACAGTTTTATGTTATTTGAAGGGCGTAACTGAAATCAGTCATTTATTTTTAACTCATTTTCATAATGTCAAAGCGGTTTCTGTGTTTTGTTATGATCAAGTGTACTTGATAATTCTGATGAAGTTAAACTTAAACTCATAGTATTGAGTAGATTTTGATCTTCAACGCTACTAAGAAACTACTTGTTCCTGTTGTTAGTACCAGAATGACATGAATGTCAAGAATAACACATTTTCCGTCACCTCAACGAGGGAGAAGTCTCCATGATCTATAACCCCTATTACCAGTCACAGCCTGGACGGTGTAATTGATAAGTGACTAGTTAGGGTAATCATTCGTCATTGCTTATTGCTAGATTGATGAATGTTATAAAATTGAGTCAACAGACAAGTTTGGTGGTGTTTAAACATGTTAAGTGGCAAGGACTGGATGATGGTCCTCTTTCTCTGAATGCCTGCATTACCATGACCAGGTTATCATGTGGTACAGTTCACCTTCCTGAACGATAATAACTTTCTTTTGTCATTTGAGGAAAAGAAATTGTAAATTCTAAAACCGACTTCAAGTTTAATCTTTACATTACTTTATCAATGTTTGTTACTTCTCAGGATTCTTACCACACATCGGTGCACAGGGGTTCATCATTTATCAATTCTGGTCGATATTTGTGGTTTCAGCAATGGGCACAAACTGTACAATGTGTGTTGCTTTAAATCATGGGCCCATCATCTGGCTCAGTAAATGTTTCAGCTTGTTTGTGGTGTTGGCACTATAAACATTACATTGTCTGCCTGGGAGGAATAAGTAAATATTCCTAAGCAGATAAGAGACATTTATTAATGTCTGCATCTGATGTTCAAGGCCAAAGAATTATATCACAGGGTTTTACCATCACCTACAAAACTAGGGGTTCAGGGGATCCCCAGTAATTTACATAAAGGGTCTCGTAAAGTATTAAAATGATGTAGTGTACTGTAAGATTTGATCATTACTTTAATTACAGGACCTTTATATTTCTTGTCAAGAACTTGGTACTATGGATCTTATTATCCCCGCTACGCACTCACGTGTTATATGCACACTTAATTATGGGCAATTAAATTCTGGAAAAATATATATGTCGTACATAAACATTTCAGGCTGTCAGTATAAACCACGAAATTTATCTTTCAACTCTGTTTTTTCACTAAAATTATATTCCAATTTTTTCACTAAAATTATATTCCAATAAGAGCCCCCTATTTCAAATTTTGAGAGTGCCCTGGGCACTTATTACATCGAATACGGTAAATGAACAAACAAAATTCTAATGTGCTCTATGGCAGGGGATATTGGTAACACTGTTTTCTTGTGTGTCCACCGAGATGAAATTTTCTGCATCCATTCTATACATACCCACTGGATGCTCATTTCTGCATCATGTTAAACCCTGATACCAGTAATTTGTACTACCCAACAAGAAATGAACCAAATTCTGTCTTTAAATAAGCTTGAAACATTTGACCGCAGTGACTTACACAACAAGGACTTCTAATATAGGCAAGTAGCTGGAGGGTTTGGAAGGCCTACACTTTGTTGTCATTGTCCTCTGGACCTCTTGCATGTTGCTGTGAACACTCAAGGGACTGGCAGAGAGCTATAGAGCGGAGGCTAGTAATGAGACTGTCAACTCTACATTGGCTGTCCATGTATCTACTTGACCTCACTGCTCTTGAGGAAACATTATGAGGGTTTGTGTGGGTTGTTCATGGTCATATTGCCCGACATATTAATTCAGGACTGAAAGAGAATGAGAAAAATAATTGGTTTGATTTCGTCTTGTATGGAAGCTTTCATATATCCAAAGGACCTGATCAACCATTGGTGGGCAATTTCGGCAACACTTGATAGAATGTGTACATGATAAACGTCACCAAGCATAAGTTACCAAAAAAATAGCATGATTTGTGTGAACCCATGAATATACATGATGTATCTGTCATGTTACCATGGCAACGATAGTTGGTACATTGTAATTGCCATGGGTACCGATTAAAAATTTCACATAATGTTCTTCTCGGTTTTTGCTTGAATCGTGTAGTTCAGTGTCTCATATTGGAGGATCACCAGTTTAATGTTTGATTGTGTTTGTTTGTTTGTTGTTTAACGCCGCACTCAACAATATTCCAGCTATGTGACGGCAGTCTGTAAATAATCGAGTCTGGACCAGACAATCCAGTGATTGACATCATGAGCATCGATCCACACAATTGGGATATGAAGACATGCATCAACCAAGTCAGCGGGCCTGACCACCCGATCCTGTTTGTCGCCTCTTACGACAAGCATAGTCGCCTTTTGCGGCAAGCATGGCATCAGTTTAATTAGTTGATGAGATCGCTTTGTGAAATTGGCCATGCATGTCTTGGTATTCATGCAGGCATTTTCAGCCACTGTGATCGTCTAACTTTCCGGTATTTTGTCTGTCTTTACAGCAGTGGTTCTGTGTTAGAAATTAGGAATAAGAATCTGAGGATCCTCCTCATTGTTGTCATTTAAGTTATTCTGGGTAATCCTTGAGCATGTTGAGGAATTCTGGACTCGTCCTTTCTAATTGTTGTTGCCTGTTGCAGATGTGTGGAGTCTGGGCGTGATTCTCTACATGCTGGTGTGTGGCTGTGCCCCCTTCCAAGAAGCTAATGACAGTGAAACACTCACTATGATCATGGACTGCAAGTTCAACATCCCCGACCACATCTCTAGTAGCTGTAGGGAGTAAGTGGAATTTATAATTCTGATCATGATAATGCAATACACTGCTCAGAGTCTTAGGATGTCCTTGTTTGAGACACACTGTTCAGACACATTTCACTCCCATCAAGAGGGGACAGCTGACCATGGAAGCCAACGTTTTGTGTCATCATGGTCATTTTGCAGTTGTCATTTCATGATTTATGGAAGAAAAGCATATTATCCTGTTTTATTCAAATGATTCATTTTAATTCAAATGATTATATTAACATGATTAACACTTTCACTTATAAATTTTGTCAATATGTTCATAATGTAATGTTAAAAAAAAAGTTGCTGATTTAGGTCATCCCTGAATGCAAATGCTACAGTAACAAATCTCATGGATCCCAGCACCCTATGGGTGTCTAACACTGCATTTGTGTCTCAGACTGATTCGTGGTATGCTGATACGCGAGCCATCACGGAGACTGACCTTGGATCAGATCCTGCGGCATGAATGGGTGACTGTCGGCGGAGAGTACAACCCAGTGTTCTACATGCCCCTCATCTCACATGAACACCTGACAGCTGAAGACCACACCTACGTCGTACAGCGCATGGTTGAGGGGAAGATTGCATCCAAGGACGAGATTGTCAGGTACGTTAACAACTATGCAGAGCTTACCTCTGATAATGATTAATTGGCCAGATATCGGAAATATAAAATCAGGGACAGAATCAGGTGTCAATGACCCGCTGTTAAAGGTTAACAAGAATCAGGGGACAAACATTGATCAGAAAGGGAGGGTCATTTTGGGAAGGGTTGGGTGTCAATGACTCTCTGTTAAAGGTTAACAAGAATCAGGGGACAAACATTGATCAGAAAGGGGGGGTCATTTTGGGAAGGGTTGGGTGTCAATGACTCTCTGTTAAAGGCTCCCTGTTAATTACAAGGTATGGTCAAATAACTTGAACCAATAACTGTTATTGATATCAACAGCAGTAATGTGAAGAGATTATCTTTATCAGTAAGAGTGAGTGAGTGAGTGAGTATATATCATGGCAGGGGACACCAGAAATGGGCTTCACACATTGTACCCATGTGGGGAATTGAACCTGGGTCTTCAGTGTGACGAGCGAACTCTTTGACCACTAGGCTACTCCACCGCCTCTTTTTTCAGGAAGAACATACAATTACAAGGAAAGTGTCACGGTTTCATTTAAGGAAGCTTTCTGGGTGTAGTTACATAATTGTCTGCCATTTTTTGAGGGCAATAATGGTTGATATTTATTTAAGGTATACAGATTCACATGCTTGTGAGATCTTCAGTGCTGACAAATGATTAGTGACAAAGAGGTTTTTGTTATGTATCTCGCTGCCCACTTACAAAGGTTTTCAGAGATTTGTGTTTTATTAGACATCTAAATGTTAGATTTACTTTTCAGTGCTGTGGAATATAAGATACTTTTGGTTATAGAGTTGTTTCATTTGTGAATTGCCAAATGCCTATCCAAGCTGCTTTGAAGAGAATACAACACTGGTGCCATGTAAGCTTCAGCAGGAATAATATTGCAGCATGATACAGTATTTTGAGGACTATATGACTAAAGCATACAAATTCCTATTGCTGCCATTACCACAACATGAGATGCACAGTAAAGCAGTGGGCATGTAAAGGGAAGTAATTGCTTGTCTTTTTTTATCACATTGTTTTTTCCAGTATTAGGATTTTTTAATATTTCTTTTGAAAATGGAAAAATGAAACGGGAGGCAGAGTTTCTGATGATGCGGGAGGTGCCTGAGAACCGATATAATAATTTGTTTAGCCTAAGTATGACATATATTTGCATGCATCTTCTTTGGCAGCTCTCTAGACAAAGATTCGTACGATCACATCACTGCCACGTACTACCTGCTGGCCGAGCGTAAGCTGAAGAAACACCAGCATGAGCTCCAGCAGGCTGCCAGTCAACTGCGGAAACAGTCCGCCCCTGGACACTCCCAGAAACCACACCTCGAACCACTGTCACTCTCACCTCGGTTAGTACCCTACTGGTTATTGCTGTTTGTGAAAGTTACACCATATTTCATTGAGGCAGCAAGGAAGGTTTTTTTAAAAAAAATGTTTGTATTTTTTATTCTTTGAGTATCGTTATACTGAGTTCTATCTACTGTTTTCTTACTATACCAGGAATACTTTTCTTCAAATTTAGAATTATTTCTGACATGTATTGATCAAGTTCTGAAATAACTGTTCCATGGAGATCATATTTGAAGGTGATCATATGAGCTTGTCAGTACATATGTTTAATAACATGCATTGTATAAGTTGTGATGTGGTGTTGCTTAAAGACAAGCAAGTTAAATATGGCTGAATCTTTTGAAACTTGGTTTATTAATGCTTGCTTAAAGAATAACCGCTGGGGGAATGGGTAAAGTTGAGTATGAAGGCTTTGCATTTGCTGTTGTAAACTAAAACTATTTGATAAAGATTCTATGCAGAACATGCAGAACATAATGCTTTTTGCAGAGTATATGCTGAAAATTACATGAAGATGAAAATAACTACTGTAATTTATGATCTCAAATGGTGTCAACTTAATATTGCATGTGTATTTTATAATCTAATTTTTTTCTAGAAAAAATTTGGAGTACCATTATCTTCAGTACTTAATTTGTGTCGATTCATAATTTGATTCTGGTTTTGTCCTGTGTAGTCTTGTATGTAGTAGTGTGTATCTAGAAATCTTGTAATACATGGCTTTCAGTTTGGTCCTGACAGCGTTTGAGTTGTCTTGTGGTGGCTCTGTGACTTCCATCTCGTGTTTACAGTTTTGTTCTTTTGATATTTGTACAGCAAGCAAAGAGAAGTGAAGAAGACTAAAACTGCCCCACTAGGTTGGGGCATGGACGCAGACTCCCTCTCTATAAGCCCTACTATCTCCCAACCCATGTCTGCTGACGGCAGTCTTAATAGGCCAGTTTTTGTAAAGACTTTAACCTCAAGCATGACACTTGACCGTAAAAGTAGCCAAAAGAAACGCCCATCCAAATCGGGTTCAATCACTCCAGGTGAGGTGGGCTTACCATCTCCAACTGAGATCAATCTATTGTCAAAATCAGAACCAGACGCTGAGAATATGAAAAAGAGCATTTCAGTGTCTGCCAAATTTTCCAAAATTGCAATCTTGAGTTCATTCTTTGAACGAAAAGCTGCCGCGGCTGCAGGGAAGGGCCCCACCCCAGACCACAAAACTGGGTTTTTCCTACCCGGAGGTGCAAAGAAAGCAGACAAGTAATTATTTTCATCTCTTAGCCTGCCTGTGTGGGCATGGTGTCATGTTCCCTTACGTTTCAGTTGTATAGTTAGGAGAGAGACTGCCTTTTCTGAACAGACTAGTTGCATTGGAGTGTGATGGCAACATTATCACCCTTTGTTTTACCCCGTCTAACTTGTTGCAAAGTGTTCTTAATAACTCATGCATGAGGTATGCAATGGAATCGTGGATTTTGTGGATGGTACGTGTCATTATGAGTTACTCTTCATTTTTCAGTGAGTGACTTTATGATGCCTTTGTGTTGCTCTCAGCTTACCTGGTTTCTTGTTTCATTATAAGTCCCTGGAGTTGCCCATGCAATGAAGGGGAGACAACTCACAGCCACATATTTTAGGAGCCATCTTGTTCTGAAGTGTTTTGTTAGCCAGCAATGCAATAATTGTACCAGACAAAAGATGCTGTTGTTACGTTTCTGCATGACTTTGAAACAATCAGATTCTCATTGCTTGTAGAAATACTAGTGAGTAGGGAGAGTATCCTCCTAGATAGTGAGATTAGTTGTAGGAGTCAGCTGATACTAGCCTTATGTCGAACTGTCATTCATAAATTACTTTTACTCAAGAGAAGAAAACTAAAGGTTGAGTGGCACACAGTAGTAGTCTGTGTCAAACCTTTCAAGCCGACTTGCCCGAATTTTGGCCTTTGCATCATTTCAGTATATTCTAATGTTATTATACTGACTATTACTAGCTGAGCTTGCAAGAGCAAACTAGATTTTATTGGGCTTCGGACTAGTATCTAAGTCGCTGGATGCATTAGCTACCAGCTACATACATTGTACCAATCTAGTTGATCCACCCAACACAGGCATGATAGGACAGGGTCAAGCCATCTTGTTGTTCTTTCACTGCCAAACTGTTTTGTTTACTCTCACTACATATGATAAGTTGTCTTCAGTTTTTCAGCCAGGTGAACATTCTGAAATTGGCTTTTGCGGAATAGATTTCTATTGTTTTTTAGTAAAGAAAGTGAGTTTATATCTTTGTAAGTCTTCTGTGTAATAAGTTAATACCATATCGAGAAGCTGGTGTTAGTCAGTGTGTCAGATTACCCTGGTAAATGTCAGGATGATTGATAAGCTTATGGGTTCTTGAACCACTTTAATGTTGGGATGGACGTTTCCGTAATTCTCTTGTTTCAGGAGCTTGTTTAACCAGATGAGCACAGTTTCCAAGACAGTGACCATCATTGTTTTTGTCAAACTTATTGATAAATATAATGGGGACTGTACAAATTTTCATTGTTTGTTCCTACAGGATGAGTTTCCCTGTTTTTTTCTTTTGTGCATTGGAGTTTTCATTGTTGTGAGGTGGTTTTCTTAGTTTGTATTGAATGTCACTAACAACGAGGAGACTGCACATCTCTCTGTTACCATAGTAACTGTTGATTCCTGCAGTAATGTGTGTTTTTCCCTTTCTACCCTGTGTGCGTTCTCAGCGTGAGGCAAAGACTCCTGAACAAGGCAGTGACGCCCAACTCTCCCCCATTCTTGACGCTGGAAGCATTAACGTCGCGATTCCAGGGGTAATGGGTTACCTATGTCCATGTCATTCAGCTGTTGTCACCTTGTTTCCAGCATGTTGTGTTGTCATGGATACCTTCACTTGTCCATTTCTGTGTAATCCACACTTTCCTCTTCCCTTCATCTGTGCAGTGAGATTTTCTCTGCACTCTTTTATTCTTTACCTTGGATAAACCGTTGTCAACTATATCGTGTGGGGGAGTGTTGAGTAATGGGGAGATAGTGACAGAAAGGGTGCTTTGGTCGGTTTGGCATGTGTTTTTCGACAGGGTGTGTGTTGAGGTGGGAGGAATCTGTTAGGTGTTTTGACGGAGTAGACACAAATGCTTGAATAGGGTAGGGGTAATTTGGTGGGAAGGGCATGTAGGTGTTGATGTGGTAGGGGTGTGTTGGATGTTTTGATGGGGTGGATGTGTGAGAGAGTGTGAGTGTGTGAGTGTGTGTGGGATAAACTTGTGTCTGGTCTGGCATGGGCATGTGTCTATTGATGGGCAGGGGTGTTTGGTTTATTGATGGGATGGCCTTGTGGGTGGTTAGGGGATGCAGGGTGTGTCTGTTTGGATGGGAAGTTCCTGTCAGTGTGACTTAATTTCAGATTACGCTGTGAATTTTATCAAAGTGAAATAGATAAGTTCTTTAAAACATTTTAAAGGTTTTTGCTTGAATCATCAATATCTATTTAAATTTAATATTATGTCTCAACTGTTATTTATGAATATCATTCTTTCTGTTGATCACAAAGACCATCAGCAAACTCTGTAGTTAGTGTAAACCCGATTTATTCTTGAGGAGCCATCTAAGAACTTCATCAGAAGTAAGGGTTGCCAGATGTGATTGCATTCTCAAATTTGTTGGCAGCTTGAGTGTATTAAGTTTGTGCCAAAACAAATAGACCACCAGTGAAGATGATGTCAGATATCATTGCTGAGATAGATGCACAAGTGCTATGTAATATTTATTATACATAGTTCATCTTAAAATTTGCCTTTTTGTTGTAATCCCCTCCATCGGTACAGTATCTCGAAGGATTGATGGGCCTTTTGTCCCAGCATTTAGATGTTGGGACAATGGACAACTAACTGATTACTGCAATGGGTCACCAGTTGAGCACATTCTCAATCCGAAGAGAAGATATTGTGATCGCTTTGTGTATACAGTAGCTGATATTTACACTATGTATTGTGTTACTTGCATGATATATAGATTTGTTGTTATTTCTTTATGATCTTTGTTTCTAACATTTTCATGACATTTCAGATTATTCTATGTACATGATTTTCACATTGAGTTCTCCCACGTTGCTTGCGTTATACCAACTGAAAGCTTGCATGTCTCCCAACATTGCACGAAGGACTGCTTTTGGAAGTGGAATTATGGCACTTTTGAATCTTCTCGCCCCCAGCATGATACGTTAGCACAGTTCCCAAATACTTTGTTTTGCAAAAAGAAACATGAAACATTGTTTTCAGTCACTGGTTCCCATATATTTGAGTTTTATTGTTTTCAGTATCAGAAATGAAACACAGGTTTAACATTGTCCCAACTGTAAGAAAACAAAGACACTTAATTTTGGTTCCCATGCTAAATTATTTCAAACAAGATGTCATTCAGTCTGTATTCACTCTGCAGTTCTGTTCATTTCTGGTATGTGTTTTAAGATAAGTTTTGGTATTGGTATTTCGTGACAGTGAAGGTATTTGGTTAATTTCGTAAGTATACAAGATTTGACATTCTTCAATGTTATTTTCAGAGTACAAACAGAGCCATCTGATCAGAGGGATGCATTGAAGCCAACTTATGTGCAGTCACTGGTGTCTCCGCCTGGCACCCATCCCTCCCCATCTGCATCCCCCAAGCATAATGCAGCAAGCCCTGAGAAGCACTACAGGGTGAGGAAGTGCAGCCTAATCAAGGAAGAGTCCCAGGATTCACAAGAAGATGGCTCGGACATGGATGTGGAGGAGCCAGGGATGATGAAGCCCATCGCGTCCTGTAATAGTCTCGAGAGTATGGTCTCAGTGTCACGTTGCCAGCAGAGCTCATCAATGCTGGCCATGTCAGGGCAGACCACATCCCAGTCGATGTCACTACAACAGACAACATCCATGCAGGTGGTGCCACAGTTGACTGTGACAAAGCAACCATCTGTGCAGCAGACAACTTCAACAGGAAAAGAACTTGGTGCAACCCGATGGCCATTGAAGTCCGTCAACAGCTCTCCACAACTCCTGAATCAGATCTTTGAGGAAAATGAATCTGATGAAGAAGAGGACTTTGTCCCCCAGAAGTTACACTCACCCCGCACATTCGTCAGCAGCATGGCGTCACCTGAAATCCTGCGTAAGTATGAGCAGCGGAAGAAACGCCGTGGAGCTGGTCAACGAGGTACAAGCTGTAGCAGTTCAGATGCCAGTGATACTGATGATACCGAGGGTAGGTCACGCAAGGATAAATTGAAGCACAAGTTTGTACATCGCCGTGACAGCAGTGACCATTCTAGTGATACCGATGGGCCAGGTGGACATGGGGGAAACATGGGAGGAGGGGCACACTTCAGTGGAGGAGGGGGGTCATCTAGAGGATCTCAGGGGGGTAACCGCAAAGATTCAGGGAAGAAGGACAACTCTGGCAACCAAGGCTCAAAAGGTCAGGGTAGCCAGGGTTCCAAGCAGAATCAAGCAAATACCAGCAATGGGGCCGAACTGAATCTGAAAGCACTGACCAAGAAGTTGAGTCAGCTAAGTGTGAACTCTCTGTCATCTATGTCTAGTGTAGGGAGTGTTGGCAATGGGAATTGTGCAACATCTGCCTCATCAACAGCCCAGTGGACGATAGGTAATACTCCAATACAATACATAGGGCGTACAGACTCTGAGCTATATGTCGAAGCCAAGTCCCTTCAGTTCAGTGAGCTCTCAGAGTACACTGACCATGACCTTGGAGATAGGTCATCAGTATGTTCGTCAGATTGTGTTCTGATGCAGCGTAAAGGTCACCGAGCACGCTCCAAGATCACAACTGACATCAACAGCAACGGTGTTCCGCCAAGCTACTGTAAGCCAGGAGGGGCTCAACAACTATCTGTGATGAAAGTGGAGTCAAAATGTTGTTCCGTAGTTTGAAGTTTCTTGTTACGTAGATAGTATATGTTAAGATTTTTTGTGGCAAAGAGAATGTACATTTTGTATGTAATGTATAGTTAATACGTTTGCAGAAATGCAAGACCTGACATATTCACAAGAGAATACGACAGAGCGCATGAGTGAGCCTACCATGAGTTGGTCTTGTTATAAGTAATTGTAGCAGGATGTCAAATGATGGTGTATCTACTACTCAAGTTGATAATATGGGAGAAATTTTGATTTGTTTCCAACATGTTTAATTGGCATTTTGTGTCCTCATTCTGTTCTATTACATCAACAATTCTGGCTTTGATATCTTAATCTTCCCAAAGTAATGTCTTAACTGCACCTCTTGTACAAACTGTGTCCTTTTTTTTTTCATGTACCATGTTATCATTTGGGGATCCGAGCTAACCAACAGTGTTTTAAATTTTGATGAAAGCCAAATGTTTTATTAAATGTTTGTCTGTGTGTTAAAGTGTGTGTTGATCGGGAGTCAGATAAGATTCTCTAGCTCATCCTTTGTCACCCCCCAACATGTCCAAAGCTCTTTCAAAGTGCTACTTTTATGTCCAGATATTGCAATATACTCATAATTATACACTGAACTTTTAACATGGGTTTGGGCCATAATAGACTGACTGGTTGTTTTAACTCTGTTTTATGACTAGACAATTTTACAGCATTTTATTTCATTGCAAGGGGTATTTGACCTGAACATACGTCCTGTTCCCATATATAGGGCAACTTGTACAAGTCAAACTACAATTGTACATGGCGATAGAGATTGTCCACCCAACCAAGAAGTAAATGTGTAGCCTCAGTAAATTAATCTACAGAATGCTATATCTGAGCATATCTTAGGCTGCTTGCTAGAGGGATGGTGTGGACAGGTTCTATTGCTTATGTATTGTGTCTTTCATGTATGTCTGGGTGTGTTGATGCAGTCAGTCAACGTGCAGGTGCCAATGCCAATGTGATAGTCTCTGTAACTATAGTATTGTGTAGGAAGGGCATTAAGATGTGTCTGCGCAGTCTGTGGGTCATCAGTGCAGTCCTGTATCAGAAACACTGTCTGTGGTTGTAACAAGTCGCCAGGATACTTAGCCATGATAGTTATATATAGTATCACAAGAAATCCATAACTGTAAGACACTGTGTATTCACATTCAAGGATTATTCCCTTCTACGTGTGGGGGTAGCCCAGCCGTCTAAGGCGACGCAATTCGCTGTGCAGAGGTGTGTCTCTTGGGCACATCAAGCTGACACGCTGTGATATAACTGGAATATTGTTCAAGACAGCGTTAAATCCAACTCACTCACTCCTTCTACATTTGTACAGTCTGAAAGTGTATTTTTATTTATTCTCAATGTATCTAAAATATTTCTTTTGAGTCAATTCTCAGTCTCTTTTGGCTTGGTAACTGTTACTAGAGTGTCAATTTCATGGTTCTAAAATTTATTACATCACAGGTGTCAATGTCCCGAGAAATAATATATATTTTGATGCTGGTGTTTTTAAGAGTCGTCTTGCAAGTGTGGCTTGTTACATCCTTAGTCTGCAATTGTATCTGAGATTGCATTGATGGGACACAGCGTTATGTGCAGTCTAGCCTAACCCTATCCGTGTTGCATGCATAATTCACTGAATCCTGCCTTCAGTTGACCATCACACGATTTGTCCCACTGTAACCTGAGCTCTCCTGTTGTGTACAACTAGTCCTGTATTCTCCCCAGGTTGTACAGCATGCTGTTCTCTCCTCTGCAGTTACGGAATGTAAGATGACAGTGTAGTTGTAATAACTTGTTACAAGTAACAAGATTTATTGAAACAAGTGGGCTATTGGTCCTTTCTTCCAAAGAAAAGGATTTACTACGTACAATGAAACCTCATTAAGTCAAACACCGATGAAACAGTTTGGTCCCAGCTGCTCCCAATCAGCACTTTGGGGTAACATCAGCTTTCAGTTAGAACCGTGGCTAAGTTGATGTGTTTGCCATGTCTCAAAGTCTATGAGTTTATGAGGTTTCACCATTTGAAGACAAAACTCTCTTTGTGTGTAACTCACTGAAGTTTCTCAAATGGTAAGATTTACTGGTAGTCGTCTTTTGATGTCATTGATGTATTCATATGACCCTTTCCTCATTATTAATCCTACATATTAGTACAACTAGCACTAAAACGGACATGATGGAACCATAAAGAACCATTGTCTAGTCATATATGACGTTCAAGGACATTATGAACTTATTTCCAGTCACTGCCATCATTGGGACAAACCTTGAAGAATGAAGATACATGCTTTCCCTCTTCTAATACCACCCGCTAGATACTAACCACTTGTAGATCCTGTTTAATATGTATATAGAGGTGATGACAACTAATATATTGACTTGTTGGAGTAGTGCTGTGTGTGGTGTATGTGGTGTGAAGTCTTCCCCAGTTTGTATCTTGACACATAAAGAGTATGTCAGGCTCTTGTTTCCCTTGTCACATTATTACATTGAACTTTGTTTGTCAGGTAGCATCTAGTTGCAGTTTCTGTGAATTATGTGTGTATGAATAGCTTCTTGACAAACAGGTGCTTTGTGTCATAACATGTCTTGCACAGGCAGTAAAAGATTCTGTGTTGCCAGGAGCATGACCGAACCAGTTGTTGCTACCTGCCAACTGTTTTACTTCTTATCAAATGCTCTCACCCTCTTTCTTAAAAGAGTTGAAACAATAGTAACATAATCGGATTATAGAATAGTTTTTCTGTCAACTTACAATACTGTTATCTTCAAGAGCTATGTAATCATACCACTAGTACATAACACAATCTGTATGTGTGTGGCTCTTTCGTTAAGGGTTGTACTCTTAACAGAAGTATTTTATAAGCTCAGGGGGTCATTACGGTATTGTAGAGAACAGCTGGACCTGTTTCATAGCATTCAACATGACGATACTGCAGGGTTTGTATTGACCTGCACTTTGGTTGTCCTGCTAATGAACATGACATGACTTGGCATGTATGATCCATGTATGTAGAAGGTAATTTATTCGTGATGGTTTTCATGGAAACATCACATAAATGAACAGCTCTTGGACTTAGACATTGAAGTGTAATGACTATTTATTACCCTTAGGGTTAGAAATAACTGAGTTCATAAAAGTTGTATGTGCACTAGTGCAAATATCGCTGTATGGGCACCACTGTATTGTTTACGTCTCCCAGACGGCATTGTTGACATCATTCAAATCATATTGTGACGTAAGGTCAAAATGACGCCACACCAGAGACGTCATACCTGAAGATTGTTGACGTCATTCAACAATTGTGGTTTACTATGTCGGCAGTCGTGATCAGTGCATTTTTCTAAGAAGGAGCTCAAATAATGGGTAACAAAGAAATTATTACACTCACATGTGTGCCATACTGATTTTATGAACTTGTGTAAGAATTTGTGTATTGCCCTCACTCTTGCTCTGGAAATACAAGAAATCTCACACTCGATTCGTTTGGTAAGATCAGTATGCACATGCACATATATTAATCTTTTTATACACAATGATACAGGTTGTGTTAGGTTTACACATTTGTAACTATGTAGTTTATCACTTTATCACAATCACTGTCTGTGGATCTGTAATGTCATCACTTTAATCGTAGTGTTTATTGTAACCAGCCCCACACTTAAGACTTCATCAGATTCCTCTCGACACACTCATAAACAATTGGGCCCACAAAACAATTAGAAACATAATTCACATCACAACTAAAGGCGCCAACTGGTCCAAATTTACAGTATTCTGAACTGACTTGATTCTGTTAGCTTTAGGTGACTGGGACAAGTGACCATAACATCCTACATCTTTCACATGTCCTGTGAATATTAAGCAATTTGAATGTTCACCTTCTGTTCATAGTTGAACTCCAGGTGTTCTTTTCAGACTGGTTGCAACAACTATAGCAACCTTATTTCTCGATATCAATTTGTCCTTCCATTGTGGAGTACGTTAGCCACTTTGTTGCAATGGTGTTAGAGCTGATGCTTCCTATCTCTATGAGAAAGTGATATTTGTGAAGTTGTGTAAATGTTCTGTGTAACCTCAATGCTGGCGTTGAGGCTTGTAGATGCTGTAGATCTGTGTTTCACCATGGTTATTGTGTTGCCAGGGTTACTATGAAAACTATGGTTAAGTGCATGTACATAGTTTACATAGACTACAATGGTGTCATTGTATGTGTAGGGTTGTCTCCCTTGTCACGTGTCAAATGTACTCTTTATTTATTTTGGTAGATTTGTGTAATCATTTCATAACTCATAAGATTCATTTTATGTTCAAAATTCAGTTTTCCCAGAATAATACAGATAAATATTATGTGTCATATGAGGGGCATTGCTGTATTAGCATTTTGAGGCTGTCATATATGACAGCTGTAACACACTTATCAGGGTCACTGTAATCCCTCTACAGTGTTCTGTTGCATGTCTTGTGTACTTTACACTGTAATATTATTGTAACCATGTGTTATTTTGATGATTACACTTACTTATCCTTGATTCTATGTGAATTGAACTAATGCTTGGAACATGAAAATGTTAGACTGATTACCATCAAAGGAGGTCCTGAAGGCATTGTGTAGATTATCTTTGAACTCGTATCCACATGTAGGTTTATTGGAGTTAAGCAAGGTTGTAAGAGAATCATGTCACCTTGCATTTCTCATACTTACCGGTACTCGTAGATCACCAAGTTTAGTTTTCCTATATTTTGTACCTTGTATGTAAAGTAGCCATCTATCAAAGTTGTTGCTCTTACGAACCAAATGAGAATATTTTGGTTAAGAATTTGTAATACTTATATGCATACATCATCATGATCATTTATGGTTTACAAATCGGCATAAACGTGATGGTAATACAGTTTGGTAGAAAATTGCATGAAAGCAATGTCCCAGATCCCCCAAAAGAATGATTACACAGCAATTTGAATATTTCTTTGTCAGAATGTCTGCCTCTTTTTTCCCCTGAAATTATTAGGACAACATGCGTTTGTAATGATCCTTTGTAATGCACAAATTTGCAATAAAGACCTTTGGCTAGTGGAGAAAAATACTCTGTTAAGTGTTAATGCCATGGCAAATGGATTGTTTGTTACAGAGTAGATGAATATGTTTATGATGCTTCTAGCAAGAGAAAAGTAGTTTCATTTATAAACAAATATATTCAAAAGACATTCTGACTAATAGTTGTTCTGGCCTTATTCATCTGTTGGAAGTCAATCCTTGCTAATGGTTATCCAGTGAAAACAATGCATAGTCATTGGTATGTGTTAAATAAAAATATATCTGGGACTTTTTCTGGGGATTGAGTTGTTTTAGTCTAAGGTAGCTTCTTAAAGGCTGATAAAGGTTCATAAGCTTCAGGGACTTGTGCTCAGGGCAAGAGGACCAATGAGGTGGGATAAAGGGCTATTAATCTTGAGCAAAACTTACATGATGGATAAGCAGTTCTGCTTGATAAGTGTCTAAAAACTGCCATTAGCTGGTCTAGTATTTTAATCATAATAAGAAACAAAATTGTTTCAGTATATGATAATAGGTAATTGTCTTAAACCTTATGTATAATGTTACATTGTTGTACAAAGATCATTGACTTCTGTGTGTTGCTGTTATGGGTGAAGTCCCACATGTTATGTACATTGACCTGTGTATATAGACCTGTATCTATTCTGCAGCCCAGCACTGGCTATGCTCATGCATGAGTTATAGAAGAGTTAAGTAAGGCAGCATGTGGACCGCAATGGAGGTTGGGCAGAGGAGCTAGGCGATTATTTATGTGCCAAACAATGGGATTGGGACTGTTTCCTGCAAGCATGGCTGATGGGAGGACGTTGTTGTAGGTTCTGACCTACTGTACAATTCTGCTTAATCAATGGTTGTAGTTAGTTCTGAACTTCCACACTCCTATGTCGGAATGGATGTAGTTAGTTCTGACCTACTGTTTGGATGGATGTAGTCAGTTCTGATCTTCTCTGCAACATCAGCTCAGTTGATGAATTTGGTTAATTCTAAATCCATGTTACAGAGGTTTGTGGTGGTTAATCAATTCTCAACATTGTATCAGTATTGTGGGTTGTCAAGTTGATTCAGGCCTTCAGGATGACCCTGTTGCAGAGGATTAACATACATTTAGTACCTACCACAGACCCTGACAATGGTGGATGTACTTCGTTCAGAACTTCCATAAAACACAAGGCCGGGGATCCATTCAACCCTGATATAAGGTTGCAAGTTGATTCGGTCAGGACTTACAACACCTTCAATGCATAATTGTACAGCTAATACTGTGAGTATCATGGGTTGGGTGTTATGAAGGGGTCGAGTAGGTTAGACTTTCCATAGTCTGTGATAGGGAATATCTCAGAGCAGGTGTTGAAAAATTCAGAAAGAAAATCAGTGACAAGGTTTTGCCTTAGGAACTGTTACTCATCTAAATGTTGATGCAGGAATCCTAATAAATCTTGAGCTTCAAAGTGTACTTATTTCTAGTACAGAGGGATAAGTTCCTGAATCTTGAGAGCAAAAGTACTCACCAATCCGCATCTATGGAAATGTTTGGCGGGACTGAATTCATCAGGCATGTCCACCAGGCCTGGTATCATTTTAACCATGTCATGTATGGCTACACTGAGTGTTTATCATTCTTTGTCATAAACATTTTATTCCTAACAGTGTTACCAGATTATCGTCTGTGATGTTTCTACACAAACTGTGGTAAGGTTCTTACAGTCAGGTGTCTATTTAAGAGAACATTTTAACCCTTACAGTGTTAGAGAACATTGCTTGTGTCTAACCTGTCATTTTATCCCTAGCCGTGGTACAGTTTTCCTTCTCAGGCCCCTCATTTAACTAACGGAACATTTTATCATTAGCAGCCCTCAACTGTGTACAGGCAATTGTGAATAAAAGCTGTGTCAGAACCTTTCAACTGACTTGTTTTTACTTTGAACCAAATCTAAATACTGTTGGTTTCTCTCAAAGAAATATATATTTACATAAACCAACCATCTGAAATTAGCTGTAGACCAGTTGGCATGGTTAGATATGAGGTTGGTACCAAGAAATGTGACCCATGAAGACCCGGGGTAGAACAGGTCTTCAGCAACCCATGCATTCAGTTAAAGGCGACTATGCTTGTCGTAAGAGGCGACTAACGGGATCGGGTCGTCGCTTACTTAGTTGATGCATGTCGTCGTATCCCAATAGCGTGGATTGATGCTCATGTTATCAATCACTGGATTGTCTGTTCCAGACCTGATTATGTTACAGACCGCCGTCATATACCTGAAATATTGCCGAGTGCAGCGTTAAACAACAAAGAAATAAAACTCATGCCATTCAATGCATCTGATGGTCAGACGATCGTTTGGCCATGAACTCTGACAGAAATGATCCTCCATTTTTCAGCAATGTTGGTCATCTGACGGTATGTGTCTGAAATCTTGGGTTTCACATTTTGATGAGGCTTTTTTAAGTAATAGATATGGGAAACACCAATGTAGATTCAAGGTCAGAATAGGCCAAAGTATCTAATTCTTGCCGTTGGAGCTGGCTAAATTTGGTAGTCAGACTCTGTGACATGGCTGATAGATCGTACCTTGATCGCACGGGCCCTTGCTCATGCTTTCAGTCACTTGATTCCAGACCTATTTCCAGGCGGAGTGAAACAACTAGAATATTGTTGACTGAAGGCATTAATTCGCCTGCTCAACGAATTTGAAGATCTGCGGTTGTTCGTTCTGGATGAAAATGATGATGTCCACGTGGAAAGGAGTGTGGTGTGCAGATTTTGAAGATTTCGGTTCTTACATTTATGATTAAGCTGACAAATGTTACCACCCGAGCTAAGGCGCCGCGATTCGCTGTGCAGAGTTGCGTCCCTTGGGCAAGCCAGAAACCTATGATTGTGGGTTCGAATCCCGGTTCGCCCCGATTATGTTTCTAGGTTTGTCAGCACCAAACCCGTGCTCGTGGGATTCACCGAAGTGGTAAACGTCTCAGACCTGGATCACTTCGGGCTTCCCTACACATTAAGCTGACACGCCGTGATATAACTGGAATACTGTTAAAAGCGGCGTAAAACCCAACTCACTCACTCACTCACTCGATTATTATGAAACGACTGCCAAGAAGGCAGAGGTTGGTTGTTCAAGGTTGCGACCTTATGAAGTGGTGGATTCAAGATTATCCATTTGTTCATTATCTCAGGCCGGCAAACTTTTGAATTCCTGGCAAATACTTGTGCAGTCACAAAACCTGCACATCCATAACACTGGACCAGACAATCCAGTGATTGACACCACGAACATCGATCTAAGCAACTGAGACTGACAGACAGATGCCACGATGACACGCATGAGCCAGGTCAGCAAGACTCACCACTCGATCCCGTTAGTCGCCTAGTTGCTAAAGAGCTATTCAAAACCGGATCTTCTTGGGTTCAATAATAACATGCAATAATCAGACGATATACAAAGATAATCTATTGGGTTTATATTTTTATTTGTCTGTTAGGAGAGATAGAAAGTGTATGGAAATTACCGTTTGTTATCTCAAGATTTAACGAATTAATGAATAGAATAGGATTCTCCAATATTTCCCAATTCAATGATTACAGGATTCCCAGTCAAAGTAGCAACTTAATAAAGGACAGGAAAGGAACCTTGTAATTATTTGATATGATGTGTAATGACATTTTGACGAGAAATAATGACCATATATTATCATATAAAATAAATGGTTACACACAAGGTTAGACCTTGCTTTCTTTTTCAAAATCTTAAATTTTGTATGTGTTTAATGCTTGTAAGATGGTGAGGTGAGGTGAAATGGGGTTTTGCACTTATAGCACGTGCATGCACGTGTGTGTGTGTGTGTGTGTGTGTGTGTGTTTTGTGTGTGTGTGTCTGCTTGTACTAGTCCGGACTTGTGCCGATATTATAGTGCTAACCAACAGAGATACCATGCCGCAGTTTCACACGAATGCCCCACTCAGACACAGTATACTTACTCCGAGCCGACCAGTCCAGGCTGGGTAACAACAAGTACCATCTATTCAGGCATTTTGGTATGATTTGGGTCAAGTTATATCACGGCTTAACTATTGCAACAGTCTCATGAGTAACATCACACATGATCAACTCCACAGGCTCCAACGTGTACAAAATACAGCAGCACGTATCGTCACAAAGACATCAAAATGGACTCCAGTAACGCCTGCTCTTATGTCGCTGCACTGGTTACCACTCAAAGCCAGAATTGAATTCAAAATTCTAACCCTGGCCTACAAATGCTACATGGAAACAGCCCCATTATATCTCACCGAACTACTGCCTAAATACAAGCCTTCCAGATCTCTCCGTTCTCAGAATAACCACCTGTTACAAGTCCCGGAAACCGGTCTCAAAACCTTTGGTCAGAGATCTTTCCAGTTCTGCGCTTCCTCGCTATGGAACAAACTACCATCTGATCTTAAGCTGTCGCCATCGCTTTCATCCTTTAAGGCTCACCTGAAAACACACCTTTTCACACAACACTATCAACTCTACTCCCCCTTTCATCAGCATTACTTGCTAAAACTATGTAGCGCCATGAGCATTAACTTGGTGAATGGAATCTGGCGCAGTATAAATAGACTTATTATTATTATGCGGCCGGGTTCGAACCTCCGACCTTCCGCTCTACCACTAGAATACGGAGGCGATCACAATCCTTGCAAGGGTAAAACCGAGTATCAGCAGTTGCTCTCAACAGACACTTTCACTCTCACTCTCACTCTCAACAGCTATTTCGAACTTTCGTGCTTTTGTAACGAATACACCTTGACATGTAATAAAACATATTTCGCTATCCGAAAGTTCAACGTGCCACTCACTACACGTGCATTAACAATGATCCGTTTTAACACACTAACGTTTGTAACACAGGCCAACCACAATTTTGCAAGTTGCAATCAAACGAAGCATGGGTAAAGATGTTGCTGGGAATAGACTCCCATTACATTGACTCATGAAGATCCGGGGTAGAATAGGCCTTCAGCAACCCATGCTTGCCGTAAAAGCCGACTATGCTTGTCGTAAGAGGCGACTAACGGGAACAGGTGGTCAGGCTCGCTGATATCAATCACTGGATTGTCTGGTCCAGACTCGATTATTTACAGACCATCGTCATATAGCTGGAATATTGCCGAGTGCGGCGTTAAACAACACACATACAAAATCCCATCATATTATTCACGAAATTCCAGAGATACAACATACATGGTCTTAACAAATATTTCCATGTAAGGGGACCAAACTGGGTCCATCCTAGCAAGCTAACACTCGTACCTTTAGGCTATATAGACTTGGAATGATTCGGTAAAGATTTGTAACTGTACACTAAATATATGGAAAGAATGTCGACTATAATTATTTGTTGTTCGCCGTTAGCGACTGTAATATTTAGTGAACAGCAATGGTTGTCAATACAACATGTTTGAAATAGTTCATGAACTGATAGTTCAGAGCTGTTCAGTGTTGTTCGTGATCGGTGTAAATATTACCCAAGCCAATGAAGTCCTCACACGAAGTCAGTTTCCCAAAAAGGTTGCCGACCTTTGTTGACGTGTTAGATAAAACATTCAAACTGCAATGAAAATTAAAGTTAAGACGCTGGGAAATCGGGTCACTGATTCGACGTGGAGAGTTTATCTTTTGTTGTCCCCTTTGTATCTTGGCAGCACAAGGAGCCAGAGATATGAAAGTCTCACTGGGTTTACTGACGTGAGATTTATACCGAGTTTGATGATGCACGTTAATAACCATCCGTTGGTATCGGACGTCACTGACTTACTGGGCATCCCATAGATATCTCATGGATGTGGGGCAATAAACCACGTCTTCTCTCCACAGTCACCTGCACTAACATTTAACTGTGTGAGGTTATTTGTAGCAGATTTGTAAACATACACCTAGGAATTACGAGATTTGATAAATGCTATTTTTATTACATACATAGAATAGTTCCCACATATACATCACGACATAGGACACATGGTCTGATGTCCGGCTTAGGCCACTGTGAGTGATATGACCAGAAGGAGACGAGTTTATGACCACTTGGCCAGGCGTCCTCAAGCGCCTTCAGCGTTAAGACCTGCCGCTCAAATGTGATTTTATGTAAATGTGGTTGTTGAGACTGTTTGATCATCACAACAATGTAAGAGGGGTCGTACTGTGTCAACACGGCTAATAGGTGAGAGGTTACCCAACGTCAAAGATCCTCGTTATAAACTGACTTTAAACCATTGCGACGCTTCAGATCCTCTCAGTCTTCTGTGAAACAAGATGTCCGACCTGCGCGCCACGTTCCACTGGGCAGACTATTTGATATTTGTTCTGACTCTTCTACTGTCTGCGGCTATTGGTGTGTTTTACGCATGGAGAGACAGAAAAAAGACGGACACAACAGAGTCTCTTCTGGGAGGCAGAAGTATGTCCATCCTCCCGGTGACGCTGTCTCTCATGGCGACGTTGTTGTCAGCGACGCTGGTACTCGGCATCCCTACTGACATCTACTACAACGGCACCATGTACTGGCTCATCTGCTTCTCCAGTTTCCTCGCTTTCCCCGTTATAGCGCATGCCATACTCCCTGTATTTCGAGGGATTGAGGTCTTCAGTGCGTATGAGGTATGTCTGTAACTAATAATACACCTGTTTATTGCTCTGGCTGTTATTCACCTCACGTCATGGAGCTACTATGTACTAAGTGCTATCAATCAGTACACACTTAACCTTCATGTCACGTCTTACTTCGTGGGGGCACGGGTGGCCCAGTCGTCTAAGGCGCCGCGATTCGCTGTGCAAAGTTGCGTCCATTGGGCACACCAGAAACCTATGATTGTGGGTTCGAATCCAGGTTCGCCCCGATTATGTTTCTAGGTTTGTCAGCACCATACCCGTGCTCGTGGGTTTCACCGAAGTGGTAAACGTCTGAGACCTGCATCACTTCGGGCTTTCCTCCCACATTAAGCTGACACGCCGTGATATAACTGGAATAATGTTAAAAGCGGCGTTAAACACAACTCACTCACTCTAAACTAATGTAAAAGTTCCCGTTTCACCAATCCGTTGTGGAGAAAGACCCGTGAATACAAAACGTTAACGCCAGAAAATAACCAGTCATCGAGACAGATTCCAATGGGCGTAAAAGGAGTAACTAGCTGTTTTAATGATATAATAGATCATAGAACATGAGTGATGACCCAAGGTGTTCGCGGAAAGGGTAAGCATGTCCGAAAGAAATTGTAGATCTGACCCATCTGTCGAACCCACTTATCACCGCTGAACATGTCCAACTGCATCTACGCGAGGGAGTTAACGAATTAATAGTCCAGTTTCCAGTTAATTCCCTTGCCTGGGGAAGATGGTCCAACCGAAGTGTATCGTGCTTGTTGATGTTAGTAAAAAAAGGAATTAATGGATCTTGGCACTTGAAAACCGTGTAGATGCGTGTTCGTTTTTAATCTGTTCTCATGACGAATCATGTTCGATTTTCAGTGTATTATATCTCCATTCTGCTGTCATAAATAGCATGGACTTATTCGCCACCAGAGCTTCGTTTAAATTTAGGTTCGTATTTCACGACGCTGAAACAAAGTTTCCAGGAAAGAGATTATCTAAAACTGTCTTCTGAATCAAATATTTAAAAGCATCGAGGGCTCGATCGTACGAGGCCGCAATTTTGAAATTCGATTTAGGTCGAGCTCTTGTTCAGAAGCGTCTTTTTGTATTTTGATTGTCTGTTGATTACTTGCTCATGAGCGAGAGAAATTCTGGTGGTAAAGAAGATGGAGATTGTCTCCTGAGACGATGCTTTGATGGCCAGTAGTTCAAGGGTACAATATTTATATACCAGCGGAAAATAATTCCACACTGTATAAAACTACATAAAATAGAATTGCAGTGGGAGTTGAAGCGTTTTAACTTTGAAAAGCAGCTTCGTTGAGGACCAAACCTCGTAAAGGTTATGCCACGCCTATCTGAAAATGAGCGGTTGAAACACACACACACACACACACATACACGCACGCATGTACGTCGTGAGCGGGACGTTAAAACCCATTTCACCTCACCACACCTTAAAGCCTTGATCTCAAAGCAATATGCCAGGTCTCCTAAAACCGTGAAAGAAAAAATTGAACTTTAAAGTGTGCGTTACTGCGCGACACTCACATCAAGACTGCTCGCCAATCAATTGGGCCAGTCTTCACCACAAGTAGGCCCCATTGAGCATAAACTACACACACTTCACAAGGCCAGTGTTTGAATTGCAGACAGGCCTGTCAGATTGATATATTCAGGCATCAAAGTTGGGTATTTTAATCCGCTCGCTCCCAGTGTTTAATCATGGTACAAAGAAGGATTAGAGAGGTGCAAAGATGGCAAATAATCGGAATGCATTCCAAGGTTGTTTTCAAAGCTATCGTGCGGCAGCTGGGCTACCGTTACACAGTAATCAGTCGATTAAAGAGAAAACATGGCCAAACCAATACTGTGAAGGACCTTCCATGCTCAGGACGGCCTCCTGTGAAGGGCCTTAGAAACACGGGCGTCATCTAGTGACCCAAAGTGACATTTGTATCCAGAAATAGCCTCGTGAATTGCCAATAATAACACTGCAGCTACATACGAAGTTGAGTGAGTGAGTGAGTATGGTTTTACGCCGCTTTTAGCAATATTCAAGCAATAACACGGCGGGGGACACAATACATGGGCTTCACACATTGTACCCATGTCGGGATCGAACCCGGGTCTTCGGCGTGACGAGCGAACGCTTTAACCACAAGGCTACCTGACTGCCCCTACATACGAACTTGAAGGGATTCTGGTATCGTTGTGAGGGATAAAGCACGACTCCGAGGTTATGGTCGAGGAAGTAAAACCGAGGCAAGAGGGTATCGGCAATGTAGCTCCGAGGTCTTACATTACCGATACCCGATTGCCGAGGTCTTTCTTCCTCGACAATAACCGCGGAAGGAGTGCTTTATATCACTTATAAACCGTCTAAATGCAAGAAATCACCGAAAAAGAGAGAAAACATCGAAATATCTTATAGTGAAACAACACAGTGTGTCGCGGTAAAGGAACGCGATCAAAGCGTGCGAGAGAAGAAACACGTGCAGCAGAGACAAATCTAAGTCATGGCATCTAAAATTGAACGTTCTTGCACCACCTGCCTTGGTGGCTCAGTGGGAAAACAGTTGGTTGCAGGTTCGATTCTCGTCATCCATAATGAAAAGTTTCATTTCTTCGATTTTAGAACATTGGACGTTTGAAACACTAAGACCAAATTCCATCTGCCACTCAAATCATCAGGTCTTATTTGCAAAAAAGGGCGGTCGGGTAGCCTAGTGGTTAAAGCGTTCGCTCGTCACGCCGAAGACCCGGGTTCGATTTCCGACATGGGTACAATGTGTGAAGCCCATTTCTGGTGTCCCCCGCCGTGATATTGCTGGAATATTGCTAAAAGCGGCGTAAAACCATACTCACTCACTCACTCACTCACTATTTGCAAAAAGTAAAACCTCATACCATGTCTTACTTGCAAAAAGTAAAAAACTCCCAAGAGGTTTTTACGAGATTGAAAAATATCTACAATACAATAGGCAAACGTGGGGAGAAAACATCACCGGTGGTTCTGCCACCATATCCCGATGACAATATACCCTCAGCTGACAATGATGGAGGGTTTCGTATTGTCAGAGGGTTGTTCTGCCAGATCGAATTCGTTGATCCGATCTCATTTTGTCAGCAATTTCATTCCAATGCTTGTTTCATTAGCCACTGAGAAAAATTCTAGGGGTGCTTAAACATTTTTCCGGAATAAACAAGAAATTATACAATTACAGAGAACTCTATCTTCATGATACCATGGTTACTGAGCTGTTACCATGTGGCATATGTCTTGTCTTCCTCAGTACCTGGAGTTGAGATTCAGCAAGTCTGTCAGGGTGATGGGCAGCATCCTATTCCAGATACAGATGGTACGTTGCCACATTGGCGTATTTTAAGTATCCACCCTGTCGTCCTCTCCGTATCCACCCTGCCGTACTCTACGTATCCACCATAAAGTATTCTATGTATCCACCCTGCCGTAACTACGTATCTACTTTGACGCACTCAACGTTTCTTCTCTGCCGTACCCAACGTATCCTATCTACCGCACTAAATATCAACCCTGCCGTACTCTACGTATCCTCTCTGATGAACTTTAAGTATCCACCCAGTCGTAGTCTATACATCAACCCTCCCGTACTCTACATATCCTCTGCGATGCACTTTAAGTATTCACCTTGCCGTAATCTACGTATCTACTCTGACGCACTCTACGTATCCTCTCTGCCGTAACCTACGTACCTATTTGCCGCACTCTATATATCAACCCTGTCGTACTCTACGTATCCTCTCCAACACTATTTAAGTATCCACCTGTCATAATATACGTATCCTCTCTGTCGTACTCTTCGCATCTTATCTGCCGCACGTTATATTTGAAACCTGCCTTACTCTGCGTATCCTCACTGATGCACTCTATTTATCCACCCTCCCGTAATCTACGTATCTACTCTGACGCACTCTACGTATCATCCCTAACATACAATATCTCTCCTATATGCCGTACTCTATATATCAACGCTGCCGTACTCTATGCATCCCGACACACTCTACTTTCCTCTCTGCCGTACTCTCCGTACCCTATCTGCCACACGTTATTATAACAACCCTGCCTTACTCGTCGTATCCTCACTGATGCTGCGTGATGCACTCTATTTCTTTACGTATCCACCGTACCGTACTCTACGAATCCATCCTGACACACTGTATGTATAAACCCTGCCTAACTCAACGTATCCTCACTGATGCTGCGCCATACACTATATTTATCCTCCGTTTCCTATGTATCCTATCTGCCGCACTCTATTATATTGCAGCAAGTGACCATGATTACAAGGTAGGTATTGCTGCATTTTATTTTGCGGTAGACTGGATCAAGACTCTTCCAAACTGTTTTCTGCATTATGTGATTGTTTAACAAATAAAATAATTATTATTTGTTTGATAACAAACTCAGGGAACCTTAGACAGCAGAAAAGCTTTGGATTTTGTTATTTGTTGACCAAAGCTTTGTGCTCAGAATATCAAAAATCAATCAGTCCACCCAGACGCACTTTATGTATCCCCTCTGTCGTAATCTTTGAAAGTTATGGCTTGGCAAGGGGTGGATGTGTCGTCGTTATGCAAAGGCATGTAACCCACCCTTTCCATCCTGTTTCAGTTGTTTAACATGGCCATCACGCTGTACGCACCTGCACTCGCCGTCAGTCAAGGTCAGTCACACAAAGGTTAATCCTTCCCTCAAGGTCAACATCTTCAATAAACAGTTTGTGACATTCGTAATAAAAACATTTCATTTGATTGATTGTTAACATGTATCTCTTGATGTTGCTCTTGCAGTGATGGACGTCTCCACGGAGGTGTCCATCGTTGTGGTTGGAGTTGTCTGCACCTTCTACACTGCCGTGGTAAGTTGGACGAGAGATGGGTTGTAATTCACTTCCGTTATGTCCACAGTGAGTGAGTGAGTTTGGGTTTTACGTCGTTTTTAGCAGTTTTTAGCAATATCACGGAGGAAAACACCAGAAATGGGTTCACACATTGTACCCATGTCGGGAATCGAACCCGGGTCTTCGGCGTGACGAGCGAACGCTTTAACCACTAGGCTACCCGACCGCCCCCTGATGTCCACAAATCACACGAATCAGAACTTAATACATCAGACTGACAAGGTATCAGTTCGCAAACCATCGACTGCACTGTATCAGCATAACCATTTGATACTGCTGAGTGCGGCGTTAAACAACAAACTAACAAACAAACCACCACAAACAACTCGGTAAGATAATACTGGTAGACATTACAAATTTGACACATGATCTGCATGTACTGAGTAGATTGAATATTTTTTAAAATCTAATTACAAAATGTAATTTTTGTTTCGAAAAAGATTACGAAATTTTAAGTAGAAAATGATTTTCAAAAATCTAAAATGACTCAGAACTTTGAGAATGTAGATCTTGTAACATTGCGAAATTCGTTTTGGAGGCGGAAGGGTGTTTCTTCTATTTATTGCTCTCATTGAATCAAGGAATATGTTTTATAATACACTGTAGTCGTTGCCGTTGTCGACAGGGTGGCCTGAAAGCCGTGATGTGGACAGACACGTTCCAGATGGTGGTCATCTTCGCCGGCCTCCTCGCCATAATCATCCGGGGCTCTATCGAGGTTGGCGGCTGGGACAACATCATGGCGGCAGCGAGGGAGGCTGACAAGCTTCGTCTGGACAAGTACGTCATCATTGTTTCATTGAAACAGAATATTGTTCAGTTAGCGCTTTAAAACATAGTATTTTCGGCCCCCACGTCACAACAAACGTCAAATAAACACACCGACAGCAACAACACGTACACCACGCAATAATAAAGTCAAATAACCAAATTTAAATTTATACACAAATTAACTTAATGATTTAAAATTTGATTGTGTGTATTTATTCTATTTTTAAAAATCAAAACAACTTTAAAGCCCATGGGGGTCCATCTTCAGCCAAATTAAACACCAATTCCCCTTTAATATTCAAAGAGAGAGAGAAGCGTTTAAGTAATGTGCTACTAAAATACATAATATTATAAAACAGAACACATTACTATTACCTTTAAGTTCATCTATCCGCTTTTAGCAATATTTCAGCAATATTTCGGCGGGAGACACCAGAAATGGACTTCACACCCACATTTTGCCCATGTTGTTTGTTTGTTTGTTTGTTTAACGCCGCACTCGGCAATATTCAAGCTATGTGACGGCGGTCTGTAAATAATCGAGTCTGGACCAGACAATCCAGTGATTGACATCATGAGCATCGATCTACGCAATTGGGATACGATGACATGCATCAACTTAGTCAGCGAGCCTGAACACCCGATCCTCTTACGACAAGCAAAGTCGCCTTTTACGGCAAGCATGGGCTACTGAAGACCTATTGTACCCCGGATCTTCACGGATCTTGTGCCCATGTGTGTAATCGAGCCCGGGGGATAATCGAACCCGGGTCTTCGGCGCGACGAATGAACGCTTTACCCACCAGGCTACCACACCGTCCCCTAGTAATTGTAAAGGCGTTTGGGTCCTGAGAAACACAAACCAAATACCATGTTAACGGTTGACATGCTTATGTGCGAAGCCGGAGCTGAAGTACTTGTGGGATTTGTTGAATCTCGTTCCTCTGTGAGTAGCCACAGACATAGTGGTTTCATGTATGCACGATGGCTAGACAGATATGTTTGTTACAGAACGAAAGTGTCACATGAAATGGACGACAAATTTACAGCTTGTCAACAACACGCTGGCGGTTATGCGATATGATGACTGCGAGCTTCTGAAGAAGGAAACTTTATGAGGGCTGATAACATTTTAATTTGACGCTCGCAATATCTACTGCGCATTTAGTGTAGATAAATGACGCAGTAAATCAAATGACCATGTACATAACTAATCCCAACAGTGCCCAGCAACAAAATGAGAGTATGCTATTTTTTACCAATAAAGAAGCAAATACGTAACTATGTATTGCAAGGGAGACAATTCAGTTTACAATTTCATCCTGTGATCACGGTTTTCCATATTACTTCTAGAATCTTGTAGCCAAATATCGCTGCGCAGAGTTGCGTCCCTTAGGCGTGCCAGAAGTCTATAAACGTTGGTTCGAATCCCGGTTCGACCTGCTTATTTTTCCAGGTTTTACCATACTAGTACTCGTCGATTTTACAAAGTGGTAAACGCTCAGCATCACTTCAGGCTTTTCTCCCACATCAAGCTGACACGCCGTATTATATCTGTTCCCTGCAGACCGCCTCCGTGGTCTAGTGGTAGAGCGTTCGCCCGGAGAGCGGAAGGTCCGGGGTTCGATCCCCGACCGCGTCATACCAAAAGACGTTAAAAGTTGTTACCCTGTCTGGCGCTCGGCATTAAGGGGCAAAAACCAGGACTGGTCGGCTCGGAGTCAGTATACTGTGTCTGAGTGGGGTATTAATGTTCAACTGCGGCATGGTATCTCAGTGAGCTAGCACTATAAATCGGCATCAGTCCGGACAAGTACAAGCAGCCACACAAACACACACACGTACATGCACGTCGCTATATAAGTGCAATAATCTTGGACGCGACGTTAAACCCCATTTCACCTCACCTGTTCCCGGCACTTATCGGTAGCCTCACTTATCGGTAGCCTCTTTCAAGCCTTGATCTTTATTGACTTGACTAGGGGTGCGAGGCACGGCCTGTTTGACAGTTCCTCAAACACAAAGATCACTTTCTCGCCATTATTTAACAGACACGAAAGGCGTTTTATATTATCATTGATTATTATCCCCTTCAATTTCCAAAAGTAATTGCATTGCGATTATGTCTGGCAGCTTCGACCCGAGTCCCTTCGTGCGCTACACGTTCTGGTCCCTGATCGTCGGGGGCTTCTTCTCCTCCCTGACCATCTACGGGTCCAGCCAGGCCATGATCCAGCGTTACCTCAGTATGAAGTCTACAAAACGGGCCCAGATGTGAGTAGGGAACCCTCGGAAGGGTGCCTTTTGTACCATATACCTACCTCTCAGTACGCCAAAACAGTAGACATCCTTCGGGAGGTAGCCTTTTGTACCATATACCTACCTCTCAGTACGCCATAACAGAAGACATCCTTCGGGTGGGTGCCTTTAGTACTATATACCTTCCTCTCAGTACGCCATAACAGTAGACATCCTTCGGCAGGTAGCCTTTAGTACTATATACCTTCCTCTCAGTACGCCATAACAGTAGACATCCTTCGGCAGGTAGCCTTTAGAAATATATACCTACCTCTCAGGACGCCATTACAGTAGACATCCTTCGTGAGGGTGCCTTTAGTACTATACACCTTCCTCTCAGTACGCCATAACAGTAGACATCCTTCGGAAAGGGTGCCTTTAGTACTATATACCTACCTCTCAGTACACCATAACAGTAAACATCCTTCGGCAGGTAGCCTTTAGTACTATATACCTACCTCTCAGTACGCCATAACAGTAGACATCCTTCGGCAGGTACCCTTTAGAAATATATACCTTCCTCTCAGGACGCCAGAACAGTAGACTTTCTTCGGGAGGTAGCCTTTAGTACTATATACCTTCCTCTCAGTACGCCATAACAGTAGACATCCTTCGGCAGGTAGCCTTTAGAAATATATACCTACCTCTCAGTACGCTATAACAGTAGACATCCTTCGGGAGAGTGCCTTTAGTACTATATACCTTCCTCTCAGTACGCCATAACAGTAGACATCCTTCGTGAGGGTGCCTTTAGTACTATATACCTACCTCTCAGTACGCCATGACAGTAGACATCCTTCGGGAGGGTGCCTTTAGTACTACATACCTACCTCTCAGTACGCCATAACAGTAGACATCCTTCGGGAGGGTGCCTTTAGTACTATATACCTACCTCTCAGTACGCTATAACAGTAGACATCCTTCGTGAGGGTGCCTTTAGTACTATATACCTACCTCTCAGTATTCCATAACAGGAGACATCCTTCGGGAGGGTGCCTTTAGCACTATATACCTTCCTCTCAATAATCCATAACAGTAGACATCCTTCGGGAGGGTGCCTTTAGTACTATATACCTTCCTCTCAGTACGCCATAACAGTAGACATCCTTCGGGAGAGTGCCTTTAGTACTATATATACCTACCTCTCAGTACGCCATAACAGTCGACATCCTTAAGGAGGGTGCCTTTAGTACTATATACCTACCTCTCAGTACGCCATAACAGTAGACATCCTTCGGGAGGTTGCCTTTAGTACTATATACCTACCTCTCAGTACGCTATAACAGTAGACATCCTTCGGGAGGGTGCCTTTAGTACTATATACCTACCTCTCAGTATTCCATAACAGGAGACATCCTTCGGGAGGGTGCCTTTAGCACTATATACCTTCCTCTCAATAATCCATAACAGTAGACATCCTTCGGGAGGGTGCCTTTAGAAATATATACCTACCTCTCAGGACGCCATTACAGTAGACATCCTTCGGGAGGGTGCCTTTACTACTATATACCTACCTCTCACTACGCCATGGCAGTAGACATCCTTCGGGAGAGTGCCTTTAGCACTATATACCTTCCTCTCAATAATCCATAACAGTAGACATCCTTAAGGAGGGTGCCTTTAGTACTATATACCTTCCTCTCAGTACGCCATAACAGTAGACATCCTTCGGGAGAGTGCCTTTAGTACTATATACCTTCCTCTCAGTACGCCATGGCAGTAGATATCCTTCGGCAGGGTGCCTTTAGTACTATATACCTACCTCTCAGTACGCCATAACAGTAGACATCCTTCGGGAGGGTGCCTTTAGTACTATCTACCTACCTCTCAGTACGCCATAACAGTAGACATCCTTCGGCAGGGTGCCTTTAGTACTATATACCTACCTCTCAGTACGCCATGGCAGTATGGATTCTTCGATATATAGAACAGAAAGTCGAGACCTCCCTACTACATAGCTAGTCGATAGAGGTAGTTTTCAAAAGAGTATACCAATTAAAAAACTGTGCACTCTATTTGTCACTTGTCTTTTGCTTGAAAATGCCATTTGACATTCTGGATTGTGATGGATGGTTGTGTTACCATTCTGTTTCGATTTGTTCAAAAGTTGGGTTCAGGTGAAATATGATCTGTAATATATTTTTGTCTTGTATTCGGTGTCGTATATGGTCCCTCATCCAAAAGGATGACTGAAATGATATTGCTGCAATTTCTCAACTGTACAGAGCCCTGTATCTGAACTTGCCAGCGGCGCTGATCCTGACGTCCCTGATGGTGTTCCTCGGCCTCGTGGTCCACGCCAAATACTACGGCGACGACCCGGTCCTCACGTGCCGCGTGGAGAAGCCAGACCAGGTACTGGGTAGCATGAGGGTTGGTGCTGGGCAGCTAGTGGATGGTGCTGGCCTGATCAAGGGTGGTACTGTGTTCATGAGGGGTGGTACTGGGCTGATGAGGGATAGTGCTGGGCTGATGAGGGGTGGTGCTGGGCTGGTGAGGGGTGGTGCTGGGCTGGTGAAGGGTGGTGCTGGGTTGATGAAGGGTGGTGATGGGCTGATGAGGGGTGGTGCTGGGCTGATGAGGGATGGTGCTGGCCTGATGAGGGGTGGTGCTGGCCTAATGTGGGATGTGCTGGGCTGATGAGGGGTGGTGCTGGGCTGGTGAGGGGTGGTGCTGGGCTGATGAGGGCTGATGCTGTCCTGATGAGGGGTGGTGCTGGGCTGATGAGGAGTGGTGCTGGGCTGATGAGGGGTGGTGCTGGCCTGATGAGGGGTGGTGCTGGCCTGATGAGGGGTGGTGCTGGCCTGATTTGGGGTGGTGCTAGGCTGATGAGGGGTGGTGCTGGGCTAATGAGGGGTGGTGCTGGGCTGATGAGGGCCGATGCTGTCCTGATGAGGGGTGGTGCTGGGCTGATGAGGGGTGGGCGTGGGCTGATGAGGGGTGGTGCTGGCCTGATGAGGGGTGGTGCTGGGCTGGTGAGGGGTGGTGCTGGGTTGATGAAGGGTGGTGCTGGGCTGATGAGGGCTGATGCTGTCCCAATGAGGGGTGGTGCTGGGCTGATGAGGGGTGGTGCTGGCCTGATGAGGGATGGTGCTGGGCTGATGAGGGGTGGTGCTGGGCTGGTGAGTGGTGGTGGTGGGCTGATGAGGGATGGTGGTGGGCTGATGAGGGCTGATGCTGTCCTGATGAGGGGTGGTGGTGGGCTGATGAGGGCTGATGCTGGCCTGATGAGGGGTTGTGGTGGGCTGATGAGGGGTGGTGGTGGGCTGATGAGGGCTGATGCTGTCCTGATGAGGGGTGGTGCTGGCCTGATGAGGGGTTGTGGTGGGCTGATGAGGGGTGGTGGTGGGCTGATGAGGGCTGATGCTGTCCTGATGAGGGGTGGTGGTGGCCTGATGAGAGGTGGTGGTGGGCTGATGAGGGCTGATGCTGTCCTGATGAGGGGTGATGCTGTCCTGATGAGGGGTGGGGGTGGGCTGATGAGGGGTGGTGGTGGGCTGATGAGGTGTGGTGGTGGGCTGATGAGGGGTGGTGGTGGGCTGATGAGGGGTGGTGGTGGGCTGATGAGGGCTGTGCTGGCCTGATGAGGGGTGGTGCTGGGTTGATGAAGGGTGGTGGTGGGCTGATAAGGGGTGGTGGTGGGCTGATGAGGGATGTGCTGGGCTGATGAGGGGTGGTGCTGGCCTGATGAGGGGTGGTGCTGGGTTGATGAAGGGTGGTGCTGGGCTGATAAGGGGTGGTGGTGGGCTGATGAGGGATGGTGGTGGGCTGATGAGGGGTGGGGGTGGGCTGATGAGGGGTGGTGGTGGGCTGATGAGGGGTGGTGTTGGGCTGATGAGGGGCGATGGTGGGCTGGTGAGGGGTGGTGCTGGGCTGATGAGGGGTGGTGCCGGGCTGGTGAGGGGTGGTGCTGGGCTGACTAGGGGTGGTGGTGGGCTGATGAGGGCTGATGCTGTCCTGATGAGAGGTGGTGGTGGGCTGATGAGGGGTGGTGCTGTCCTGATGAGGGGTGATGCTGGCCTGATGAGGGGTTGTGGTGGGCTGATGAGGGGTGGTGGTGGGCTGATGAGGGCTGATGCTGTCCTGATGAGGGGTGGTGGTGGCCTGATGAGAGGTGGTGGTTGGCTGATGAGGGGTGGTGCTGGGCTGACGAGGGCTGATGCTGTCGTGATGAGGGGTGATGCTGTCCTGATGAGGGGTGGGGGTGGGCTGATGAGGTGTGGTGGTGGGCTGATGAGGGGTGGTGGTGGGCTGATGAGGGGTGGTGGTGGGCTGATGAGGGCTGTGCTGGCCTGATGAGGGGTGGTGCTGGCCTGATGAGGGATGTGCTGGGCTGATGAGGGGTGGTGCTAGGCTGGTGAGGGGTGGTGCTGGGCTGATGAGGGCTCATGCTGTCCTGATGAGGGGTGGTGCTGGGCTGATGAGGAGTGGTGCTGGCCTGATGAGGGGTGGTGCTGGCCTGATGAGGGGTGGTGCTGGCCTGATGAGGGGTGGTGCTGGCCTGACGAGGGGTGGTGCTGGGCTGGTGAGGGGTGGTGCATGGTTGATGAAGGGTGGTGCTGGGCTGATGAGGGCTGATGCTGTCCTGATGAGGGGTGGTGCTGGGCTGGTGAGGGGTGGTGCTGGCCTGATGAGGGGTGGTGCTGGGCTGATGAGGGGTGGTGCTGGGCTGGTGAGGGATGGTGCTGGGTTGATGAAGGGTGGTGGGCTGATGAGGGGTGGTGGTGGGCTGATGAGGGGTGGTGGTGGGCTGATGAGGGGGGATGCTGGGTTGATGAGGGTTGAGCTGGGTTGATGAGGGGTGGTACTGGGGTGATAAAGGATGGTGGTTGGTTAATGAGGGGTGATGCTGGGCTGATAAGGGGTGGTGCTGGGTTGATGAGGGGTGGTACTGGGTTGATGAGGGGTGGTGCTTGGTTGATGAGGGGTGGTACTGGGGTGATAAAGGATGGTGGTTGGTTGATGAAGGGTGATACGGGGCTGATGAGGGGTGGTGCTGGGTTGATGAGGAGTGATGCTGGGCTGATAAGGGGTGGTGCTGGGTTGATGAGGAGTGATACTGGGCTGATGAGGGGTAGTGCTTGGCTGATAAGGGGTGGTCTGGAAAGATGTGGGGTTTACCCTTTGCAGCTGACAGAAATAACAGAAAAGAAACTTGTTGAGGAAGTGGTATTTATTTACACACTCTTCCGGACATATATGTGTTTCCTAAGACCATGTCAATTTTATATAATGTATATAATGTTATCTCCCGTAGAGTTTAATTTCGACCACCGACCTTATGGGTTTGGAAAACATATCAGTCTTAAAATAGACTAAAACTGAGACTTTACATCTGTTATGTCGATGTGTTTGTGTTTCCTTGTACCGTTGTTCCAGATCATCCCCCTGCTGGTGATGGATGTCCTGGGTGAGTTCCACGGTCTGCCCGGACTGTTCGTGGCCTGCATCTTCAGTGCAGCTCTCAGGTTGGATTAAATAGCCACATGTGCTGACTGAACACATCTGAATACTTTGTTACACGATATGCATCAGAATAATTTCAAGTTTCAGGATTCAGTTTTGTTGCTTCACGAACCGATTCAATGTACATGCAACTTTATGCGGTGGGGCGGTGGGGTAGCCTAGTGGTTAAAGCGTTCGCTCGTCACACCGAAGTCCCGGGTTCGATTCCCCACATGGCTACATTGTGTGAAGCCCATTTCTGTTGTTCCACTCCGTGATATGGCCGGAATATTGCTAAAAGCAGCGTAAATCAATACTTACTCACTTATGCAACTGAAAACAATGATACAAAAATAATTCAGGTCGGGAAATTTTGTATTTGTCTTTTATTTGTCATCCTGTTTTAAGTAAACGTTGATATCGCTTCAGTACCGTGTCCTCCGGTGTGAATGCTCTGGCGGCAGTGTTCCTGTCAGACATCTTGGAACCAGCTCACCTGGCTGTGTCGAGAAGCAGCCTCCCGGCCAAGACAGCAGCCATACTTTCCAAGGTTCTAGGTACGTCATGTTCTTTAGATGAGGCACGGGTGGCCCAGTGGTCACAGTCGCCTGAACTGGATGTACAGAGTGGTGTCCCTTTGTTTCGACATGATCCGCTGGTCAGTGGTTGTCTATACGTCTTGTCTGTCAGCATCATACCTGTGTCTCCAGGTCCCATTATTATATATTCAACAACAAAAGTTCCTGTGAAACCAATATTTTAGTGTATTTTTCAAACAAATAAAGTTTGGTTTTCAATATTGTAGTACATGATTGGAATCAGGTCACAAAAACGCAACTGCTACAGAAAAGCATGCATTCCATGCAAAAGTTGACTTTTATGCAAGCCCCATGCATTTCACTACCCAAGAATGGGTATAAAAACATGTGCGTTAACGGGATTCCATATGCATGGTCTAGCATCGTGCTGACAACAATCACTCAGAAAAACAACAAAATCACGCAATTATTCAACATTACGAAATGCCACGCCTGTCCGAAAATGAGCATCTGCGAGCAACTGATATGCTTGAAGCAGGATCGAGTCAACGTGATGTTGCAAGACAATTTAACGTCAACAGAAACGCATTTGGTGTTTATGGCAACGTTGGCAACAGACGAATGCAGTCAGAGACCATCCTCGGAGTGGCAGGCCAGGCGTAACCAATAATCGACAAGACAACTGGATTCGAACAACACACCTACGAAATCGATTCCAGCCAGCAACAGTGACTGCAAGAAGCATCCCAGGCCTTCGACGAATATCTTCACAAACCGTACGTCGTTGCCTCAGATGTGCAGGGATTGTCGCAAGAAGACCCACCAGACGTCCCATTTTGACAGGAAACCACCTTCAAGCACGTCTACAGTGGTGCAGACAGCGTCTACGCTGGACGGCCATGCAGTGGTGACAGGTTCTATTCACTGACGAGTCTCGTTTTCACCTCAGCCACAGCGATGGACGGATTCGAGTGTACCGACGTCGAGGTGAACGTCACGTCAATCATTATGTATGGAAGAAGATCAGTTCGGATGCGGCAGCGTTATGGTATTGGTGGGGATTACAGCAAGACAGAGGACCCGTTTGATAGTGGTAGAGGGAAATCTCAATGGACAGCGCTACCGCGACGAGATCATCGGCCCTGTTGTTCTACCGTTTTTGCTTCGTCATGACCCAGGCATTACCTTTCAACATGACAACGCCCGGCCTCATATTGCTCGACTTGTTCAGGATTCTCTTCAACAAAACAACGTGAATGTCATCCTCTGGCCGTCTCGCTCCCCTGATCTCTCACCAATCGAGCACATGTGGGATGAGATGGACCCATGCCTTCGACGTCAACCACGTGTTCCACAGACACTCCAGGAACTTGGAAACATGCTCCAGCAGATATGGACAGATATCCCACAGGACTTAGTGCGACGCCTGGTCCATTCCATGAGACGTAGATGTGTTGCTTGCATCGCAACCAGAGGTGGATACACACGCTATTGATTTGTAAATTGACATTTTAGCATGTTCATGTTTTTTTTATATGAAATCAGGCATTTTCATGGCACATTAGACCATTTGAACACTTACAGGAGTCTTTTATCTGTTGCACACCGACATTGTTTCAGATTTGGCATTAAATCTTATTCAATGTCACAGGAACTTTTGTTGCTCAGTATATATTCCTCCCACATTACGCTGCCACGCCAAGATATGACTGAAATACTGTTCAAAGTGGTGTCAAACGAAACTCATCTATGTTCTCCGAAAACTATTTACGATGGATGAAATATATCTTAAGTAAACATTCGTCCTAATTCTTTTCTATACTGTTTGTTTGTTTGTTGTTTAACGCCGCACTGAGCAATATTCCTGCTAATTACGGCGGTCTGTAAATAATCGAGTCTGGACCAGACAATCAAGTGATTGACATCATGAGCATCGATCCACGCAATTGGGAAAGATGACATGTATCAACCAATTCAGTGAGCCTGATCACCTGATCCCGATAGTCGCCTCTTACGACAAGCATAGTCGCCTTTTACGGCAAGCATGGGTTGCTGAAGACCTATTCTACGCCGGATCTTCACGGGTCCTTTTCTATGCAAAACGCGAGATATAATAATGCAGTTTCAAGTGACGGATCATTTCAGAAAAAATATATGGCAAATGTGCAATTTATAATTGTTTTATTCCGTTTTTATTTTAGATACTCCTGTCAGTGATCCATACTGCTTTGTTTATATGTTTTTCCACAAATGTGTATGCCACTGATGTTGTGTTGTTGTTGACAGCGCTGGTATTCGGCGCAGCCATCATCGGCCTTGCCCTTCTAGCCGGCGTGCTAAACAGCCTGGTGCTGGAGATCTCACTCAGTATATTGGGGATATTCGGCGGACCTCTTCTCGGCCTCTTTATCCTCGGCATGTTCCTTCCCTGTTCAAACTCCTGGGTGAGCTTCCAAGAGAGTGTGAGTGAATGAGTGAGTTGGGTTTAACGCCGATGTGAACATTATTTATAAAGCCCGAACTTCTTCAGTTGTGAGTAGAGAACCTTCGAGAGGGTGCCTTTAGACCGGGCAGAAGTTAGGATTCTAACATAAAATCATCCCATCCTGGTATGACACAGGGGCGCAACTCTGCACAAACCGGGGCTCCTTCCAGTTTCGGCCATTATTATCTCATAATACTAACACTGTCACGTAATTCCGTGATTGGTCATATGCTTTTCTTGAAACAGAAATGAAATCAGGGTTATGGTACCACGTGTTTATTTATTCGGGCAAATGATTGACAAACAGAGTTATCTTCCCTTTCCAGGGGGCAGGTGCGGGCTTTCTCTCCAGCGTGGTCGTGTCCTGCTGGGTGGCTATAGGCTCCACCCTACAGATGAGCGCTAACGCCCCTCCACCACCTGTCTGCGCCAACGACACTGTGGCAGCGAACGTGACTACGTCTGTAACAACCATTTTAACATCCACGCCCATGGCAGTGGAGGGAACAGTGTAAGGTCTATGTATGACGTCACGTACACTAAAAACAAGAAATGGTTATTCGGTAGTGACATATTTAATACGGGTATCATTGTTTTGTTTTGGACCTTAAGTTTGCTGTGTTTCAGCGACTGTCTTCAGCCGAGTAACGTTCAGCTTCCCGAGGCAAGGAAGCAAACTGACTATAAAAGCCCAGATTACACCTTTGCCGAACTAGGCTGGAATTATGGAGTTATATTTTGGCTGGTCAAACGAGTCTATGTATAGTCCAAACAAAATCGCGTAATCAACATCGGGTTCGTAAACTGCCGTGCAGATTTCCGTCGATTGCAGGATTTGTAAAACATGTGTTCCGCCAACTCGACATCAAAGGATATTTAACAAATCTTTTCAGGTTTTAAATCAAGGTGCTCACGTGATTACATGCACTTCGCGAAGTAAGACCCGTTTTATCACAATATAGATTTTAATAATCGATCAGATCGTCTTGACTGGGCGCCGCCATTTTGTTTGAAGCAAATGCAAGTGATATGAGAGGTGGAATCTGATTGGTCAATAGGAGGGAAATATTAGGGACGCTACGATCGAGCCCAGAAATTCCAGCCTAGTTCGGCAAGGGTGGAAACTGAACTTTTACAGTCACTTAACTCCTTTGTATGGGGGAGATGGGTAACGTTTTGATAACGTCTTCAATTTTGTGGTCAAATCCAAATTTCAAGTGAATGCTTTCGAGCTTATGCCATGCAGTTCATATATAACTGTAAAGTCTCATCTGTTGTTACAATGTTATAATTGTTAATTTGATCATTCTAATTATTCAAAAATATGTAACTATTTTCAAAGAGGTCTAATTTAGAGATCACCAGCTATTTAAATTTATATATTTCAATTTCAGTGAAGGTCTAGAGTTATTCTACAACCTGTCGTTCATGTGGTACAGTGCGTTAGGGGTGATGGTGAGTGTCGTCGTCGGCGTAGCTGTCAGCTGTGCTACAGGTAAGTGGGATATGAAGTTGAGCACGTGAGGGGATTGGATGTAAGGGGAAGGAATCGAAAGGGAGGGTTAGGGGTCGGAGGTACTGCTGGCATTGATCAGTATCTAACAGTAGCTGTTAGTAACAAACAACGCTATTGTAACCAACACCCCTACTCCCACTTTACCAAGCTTACAGCTGTGGACACTAGCAGCTTAATAATTATACAACATGTGATTGAGAATTGGGCCGGTACGCCTGATCGCATATGCAGGTTTTTGCCAGTCGGATTGGTCAGTTTTATGGGTGTAAAATTTAGTGTGTGAGTGAGTGAGGGAGCGAGCGTTTTACGATCTATTTAACGTCGCCTCGGCATTGTTTGAACCAGTTTGCGACGAGAATAATTCAATAATTACAAAGATGAGTACATCGAAGTTTCATACAAAATCAGTCTTAGCACTGGAAAGATATGTTTTGTGTGTAGCAAGAACAAACTTCATTTTGTAAACAAGGGTTAAGTGAAAAAAATTCTTATTATTAACTTTTTATTATTAAGAGACGTAACAGCCCCAAGATGATGGCTCATGTGACCTGTTGAGCAAAACTCCGCAAAGCGATCGTAGCGATACGAGTCTATGTTAAAGTATGGGAGTTTCGATCATCTTCGCGCTACGATCGCTTTGTAAAACAGAACCCAGATCTTCTGTCAGGTGTTCCTTTGGCGTTTCGTTCCAAGGTCCACTTGTTTTGATGAACACGTCTACTGCTCCATCTAATGTGAGATGGAGGCTACCTACAGGGCGCCAATGCCATTTCGGATCTCTGGTTGGTGTGTAGAACTACAGTTACAGCACGGATCTATATGTGTTTCTGCTGCAGGAGGGACCAGGAAGCGTCCGGTAGAAGCCCGTTATCTATCGCCTTGGTACGTCGCCCTCAGCCCTCTATGTCAGGTGGCCGGGACCAAGGGAGACGACTCAGAGGAGGTGCGCGCTGAGGTGAGGAAAACAGGACGGCCTTTGTCGATCAACCCTTTTGTAATTTGATGGAAGGGAAGTAAGATCTCGTGCGTTAAATTGTGTGCTTGTCTGCTTTGATACTTGAAACCCTTTCAATGAAATCGGTTAGCTTATTTCGCTTATGTAAAGTAAAGACCCGTGAAAATCCGGGGAAGAATAAGGTCTTCAGCAACCCATGCTTGCCGTAAAAGGCGACTGTGCTTGTCGTTGGAGGAATAACGGGTAGTCAGGCTCGCTGACTTGGTTGATGCATGTCATCGTATCCCAACTGCGTAGATCGTTGCTCACGATGTCAATTACTGGATTGTCTGTTCCCCGACTCGATTATTTACAGACCGCCGTCATATAGCTGGAATATTGCTTAGTGCGGCGTTAAACAACAAACAAACAATCAATTATGCGAAGATAAACATCAAGGCGGATTCGCATTGCATGGATAGGCCCAGTTTTCCTGATGCGCAACTATCTGTAGTTCACTTTACTAGTGGTAGGTTAAATGTATTGTAACTAAACAACGGCATGAAGTAATGAATACTCGTCATAGGTCAGCATGCTCGTCATAGGTCAGCATAGATTATTCCGTTGCACTGCGCCCATTGTCTATCTTTTTATTTTTCGGATATCATGTCATACAAAAATGGCTATGAAACCAGTTGAGCACAGATCCGATTGCTGATTGTTACACTTGTGTTGTCTATGTATCTGTCTCAACATTCATCATCTGTCCCAGGTTGTGGCGAATGGACAAAAGATGTCGGACCTGGCAATATCAGATGGCCGTTTGTCTTAGTCGAGACAACATTCCACCCAGAAGCTTAAACCGACGACGGGCAACGAGCCTAGAAGCAAGTCTTTCATGATAGGCGTAGCGGAACGGTCAAACTTTCAGCAGGATCAGAAGAAACTTTAAGCTGCTGTGGCTTGTGAAGAATATACTGTCTTGTTACTGGCTACGATGGGCATACATTTCAAAATTGTGGTCCCAGTAGAATATATTATTTCGAACATTAATTGACAGGTGTATATATATATGTGTGTTTTTACCCCCGGCCCATACCCATCCCACCCCACCCGGTATGTATGTCCGTCCGTCCGTCTGTCCATGTGTCCGTGCGTATTTGTTTCCGGAGCATCACTTGAAAACCGTGAAGGATTTTTTATCCAGACTTGATACATGTATTAACTAAAGGCTGAAGTGGTGCCTTTTGCTGCTGTTGCGTCATGGGGTATTTGTCATCTTCTGATGACTCTTGTTTTTTTTATCAGGGGTGGGGTTAATAACTGGACCCCTCTGGACCCCTCTGGACCCCGATGACCATCGGACAAGGGTTAAGGGAGAGCCGTTATAAACACATACACGTATTCGGAATGGAAATGAAATAATGCTTGTCGTATTAGATCTTTATTTTTGTACATTTCACTTCTAATAGATGCAACTGTGTGGGACAAGGTGTCTCAGGGGCAGATATAGTCCTGTAGATATGCCTGTGGCCAATTCTCAGTATGATTACTGCTACCAATTGCCGTTGCATCAGATAAGGACGCTCAAGTGCTTTTAATAACCAACTGATTTTTAGACATCCTTAGGACAGATTTATTTCTCTTTTGTATTACGGATTATGTTTTAGGAAAAATGGGTATATATATATTTGGATCGGTAGGTAATAAAACATTTATCTTGGGCATTTGGGTACTTATTAGTATTATAAATCTAGAATGTGACAGCAGCATAGCATTGTCAGTGAAATTTACCATCGACGGTATAAATAAATCGAATTTTCGATTTTTTAAGGTCAATCTCATTAAAATCAGATCTTAGTTCTCGCCAGCGCTAAACGAAGATCTGAGGACATCCCATTAGGGGTCACGTCAGAACGACCTTTCATCCGACCAATCAGAGCGTCGCTTACCAGATCATGAAAGTGACAGTCAGAATGTGTTTTCTGATCATGCAACCTCGAAAACGTTAACACGGTGTATTCCGAACGACAGTTACGTCCCGTACGACTGATTCCGTCAAAATTATCGTCTATCTCTCGCTTCCGTGGGACAAACATTTGAACGGAGGATGCGTTACACAGTACGTGGGAATATAATAATATTTTGATCGGTAGATAATAAAACATTGGGCATTTGGGTACTTATTAGTATTTTAAATCTAGAATGTGACCGCAGCATAGCATTGTCAGTGACCTTTACCATCGACGGTATAGATCTATCGAATTTTAGATTTTTAAGGTCGGCACATTCGTAAGGCAAGCAGGTTTGGCGGGGCGTTCAGATACGTTGTGTATTTTGTCCTGAGTCAATAAAGAGTGTTTTCACCCAAGTCAAATCATTTATGATTTATTATTATTTATGATTGTTTTGCAAACAATACGTACGAGTATTTTAAGGTATGAGTAAGTGAACTTTAACTGCTATTTTAAAAGATATTAATGATTTATTTTTTTATCGGATTATATAATATTACTAATACCTTGAACATTATACAATACTAGCATTTGTATAAGGACAATAAGTACAAGTATTTTATGGCTTAGTAACAGTAAATATTCCTTCGAGTACTGAATTAATAATATCCCTTATTACTTAGGGTTGATAGTTATTCATTTAGTAGTTTTAAGTATAACAACGACTAAGGTTCACTTCCGCACTATACTAGTATTGTATAATGCCTAGGAGTTTTTAAGATTATATTTCAATAACGCAGAGGGACGACGTTAAGCTTGGAAGCCACAGCAATATTGTAATCACAATACGAAATACATTCATATAGTTATTTAAACAACTGCCCACACAGGACCGAACTTAACAAACACCATATGACAGATTTGTATTAAAACGTGTGTGAGAACATTAAAAGATCGAACTTTTGACAGAAAAACACAAAAAATCGGCTAATAGACTGCCAGCATCCCGAGTTAGGACCAATAGATTGCCAGCATCCCGAGTTAGGACCAATAGACTGCCAGCATCCCGAATTAGGACCAATAGATTGCCAGCATCCCGAGTTAGGACCAATAGATTGCCAGCATCCCGAGTTAAGACCAATAGACTGCCAGCATCCCGAGTTAGGACCAATAGATTGCCAGCATCCCGAGTTAGGACCAATAGATTGCCAGCATCCCGAGTTAGGACCAATAGATTGCCAGCATCCCGAGTTAGGACCAATAGACTGCCAGCATCCCGAGTTAGGACCAATAGACTGCCAGCATCCCGAGTTAGAACCAATAGATTGCCAGCATCCCGAGTTAGGACCAATAGACTGCCAGCATCCCGAGTTAGGACCAATAGACTGCCAGCATCCCGAATTAGGACCAATAGATTGCCAGCATCCCGAATTAGGACCAATAGATTGCCAGCATCCCGAGTTAGGACCAATAGATTGCCAGCATCCCGAGTTAGGACCAATAGACTGCCAGCATCCCGAGTTAGGACCAATAGACTGCCAGCATCCCGAGTTAGGACCAATAGACTGCCAGCATCCCGAGTTAGAACCAATAGATTGCCAGCATCCCGAGTTAGGACCAATAGACTGCCAGCATCCCGAGTTAGGACCAATAGACTGCCAGCATCCCGAGTTAGAACCAATAGATTGCCAGCATCCCGAGTTAGGACCAATAGACTGCCAGCATCCCGAGTTAGGACCAATAGACTGCCAGCATCCCGAATTAGGACCAATAGATTGCCAGCATCCCGAGTTAGGACCAATAGATTGCCAGCATCCCGAGTTAGGACCAATAGATTGCCAGCATCCCGAATTAGGAGCACGATAATCTTAGTGAAATAAGTACTATATTATTCTTTCTTTGACACACACCGTACCTCGTTAGTCTGAACACCGACTCCATCTCACACCACAGTTTAACGTAGAGTAACAGTGGTCGTAGAACTGCGATCCTTTGTGCATGTTGGTCCTCTTAGTTTGCCACGAGGAACCCTTTTTACCACTTATTGAATATTGCCACGTTTGGGGACACAAAGAAACATCTACACATCCTACATCTGTATAAAACTCCACATTGCAGCCAGAGACAACTTGGTGAGAGTTCATAAATGCTCAACACTATTCGTCACTGGTGGGAGAAGCGCACATAAAATATTAACATATTAACGTTAACGTGCGTGTCCTTATTTTCTGAAGAAGTCTTTGAGAGTGAGTGAGCTTGGATTGGCGATGTATTTAGTGATTGAGTTTTAAACCACCTTCAGCAACAATTCAATCCCGGACCTTCACATGTTCCACGCATTGTACCCATGCTTGTGGAATCGACCAAGTGAGTGAGTGAGTGAGTGAGTTGGGTTTAACGCCGCTTTGAACCATATTCCACGGTTATGTAACGACGTGTTAACGTAATATGGGAGGAAACCCCGAAGTGTTGCATGTCTCGGACTTTACTACTTTAATGAAACCCAGGAGCAAGGGTATGGTACTGACAAACCTAGAAACATTATCGGTCGTACCGGGATTCGAACCCATGATTATAGCTTTCCGGCGTGCCCATGCGAAGGAATCGAACACGGTTCTTCGGCATGACGAACGAACACTTTAACAACCAGGCTACCCCACCGCCTGGCGACATTATTACATTATGCGGCGTGTCAGCTACATGTTCAGAAAAGCCAAGGTGACGCAGGCTACAGTTAGCTACATATCTTGTGAAACACTGTTACGGGATGATTTCCAAATTGAAATGCAAAGGTTAATTACCACACAATGTCAATGAATAATTAATATATTTAAATACATAGCTTTAGGTTTACGATAAAAAAAGGCAAAAATATGTGTAAAATAATTGGCATCAGTAATATGTAACACCAATGTTCAGAATATTGTCACTGCTGAATGTCCTGATACTGGCCGATCTCCGTTCTTGTATTCAGAGGGAGTGAGTGAGTTGGGTTTAACGCCGCTTTTAACAGTATTCCAGATATATCGCGGCGTGTCAGCTTAATGTGGGAGGAAAGCCCGAAGTGATGCAGGTCTCAGGCGTTTACCCGACGCTTAAAACACAGAAACATAATCGGGGCGAACCGGGATTCGAACCCACAATCATAGGTTTCTGGCGTGCCCAAGGGACGCAACTCTGCACAGCGAATCGCGGCGCTTTAGACGACTGGGCCACCCGTGCCCTACTCTTGTTTTCAGAAAAGTGATGGAAGCTGGCAGAAACGCGTTGTTTCCAAACCGGTACACAAATCGCACTTTGCAGGTTGATTAGAAACAAGTCACATAAAAAAAGGCCCCGAATCGCCCTCTTGTTGCTCTGTCTTAGCCTTTCAGAAACTGTCCCAACCAGAAACTTCCAGAACGTTCATGCCTGCCATGTTCGTGCTTACAACAAGGGCACATAACTCTAATACCTGTACACATCCAATCCGGAAATGTCTATTCGCTGCCAGGACAGCACTTGACACCATTCGTGACCAACTCGTGTTATTCGGGGACAAGCCAACTCGTGTTATTCCGAGACAAGCCGAATAGCGACTCGTGCCCCTCTCATGGCCATTTTTGCGACCGGGTTCCGTCTTAGCGCAAAGTGGCGTACCTAAAACAATTGTCATCTCGTTACGTAATGGTTCGCATGTATTTCCCCATATATTATATAATATTTTTAAGATGCAATTTAAAGCACATCGGGACGCGCGGAATTATACAGTATGATTGAACACATTTAAGTGTGTCTTGGGTATAGTTTTAGATGCAAGACATATGTAAAATCAAAAAGGGATTCTTTGACGAAGAACTTGAAATCATACGCGCATTCTGATTGGTTTGTCGTATTTTCGCACATAACATTCATCGATAGGGGGACGAGTCTTCTTGCAGGTGACGGAAAGGGGCGAGTGGTGACGAATGCACTTGACACTTTTTAACTGGTAGTTCAGTCATACGCTAACTGTGATAATGTCGCTACATAAGCATTGTATGGGACAAATTATTTTTGTCGATAAAATCCCAACCCCTCTTTCCCCACCCCTCCTCTCGAAAAGTAAAAGCCCTGTCTCTAGATTTTGTTGTGGACATTACATTATGTCATAGAGGTATGTCCACACAAGCTTGAGTCAATTGAGCCTCTTGCTTTGCTGTTACAGGAAAGGAAAATATGCAGGGGCTTGTCTTTGGTTCATGGACACATTAGCTCTCCCACCTGGGCCCACTTGCACAAAGCGATCTTAGCGCTAAGACTATCCAAAGACGTATATAGAAAGGATAAGCAGCCTTCTCTTATTGTCTGCTCTGATGTGAGACGCGCTAATTGTCACAGCAGGGGGTCATCGGCCGGCCGTATGCGCGAAAGGCATCTTGGGTAATTCACTATCGCTAGACAACAGAGAGAAGACATAGAGTTTGGATTTTTACTGATTGCAGCACTTTCGTAGCATTTCATGAACTGAAGGTAAGAACTATCATTACTTATAATGTGGAAGAACGTTACCAATGTCTTGATTTAGTGATTAAACGATTGACTTTGGCTAGATTCCCCTTTGAAGTATAGCCAGTCGTAACTCGTGGACTATCGTAAGCCTGTGTTAAAGTATGGGATCATCTTAGCGCTAGGATCGCTTTGTGCAAGTGGGCCCCGGGCAATGCGCCACTGCACAAATCAGACAGTGTACTGGCTACAATCCCCGACAGTGGCTCTGAGCTCCTTCAGCACTCGCCCTATGCTCTTGATCTAGCTAGCTATTCCCGAACATGAAGAAAGGACCAACCAGATCCCAGTTCGACACGAAAGCATCTGTGGATAACTTTTTGGACTTCCACAAAAAAACCCTCTAACATCGTTGGCCAAAGCGTATCTATAGGGTATCTAACGAGATTATGTTGAAAAAGATAGAATTTTAATCTCGTCTTTCTATGTGGGGATCAGAACTTCAATCAATTCTCGTATATATGAATTTTTTTAGATGGATAAGTTCCATATTGTTACACAAGTCATGTCATGGCTACACGCCTTGTCCATGATTTTTGGTTTTGGTTTGGTTTTTGCACTTAGCAATATTCCAGCTATATGACGGCGGTCTGTAAATAATCGAGTCTGGACCAGACAATCCAGGGATTGACATCATGAGCATCGATCCACGCAATGGGGATCGATGACATCCATCAACCAAGTCAGCGAGCCTGACCACTCGATCCGGTTAGTCGCCTCTTACGACAAGCATAGTCGCTTTCTACAGCAAGCATGGGTTGCTGAAGACCTATTCTACCCCGGATCTTCACGGGTCGCCTAGTCCATGAAGAAGCAGAAGTAGCCACGACCCGTCGTTGCAATTTGTCGTACGGGATTACCAATTTCTTAATGCTGATCAATGACTTTAGTTGTAGTAGATATCAGCCAAACTGTTATCAGATCGAGAATGAGTCTTAGATATTTTAGGGAGTTGCTTAAATCTATAAATGAGCTATGACCTTGACCTTGACAGTAAAAAAGGTCACAAAGGTCCTTTCCTAATTTGAAATTCCAAGATACACATTAAGCTGAAATTTCAAGATAATGATCTTAACATTTAAGATAATAAGATTATAACTTTAATTTTTAACTTTGTATCTTAAAATGTCAACTTAGTATCTTAAAATTCCAACTTAGTATCTTGAAGTTTCAAGAAAAAACAAATGGCCCTAAAAGGCTTCCTTAGGAAAGGACCTTTGTGACCTTTCTTACTGTCAAGGTCAAGGTCATAGCTCATTTAAAGATTTAAGCAACTCCCTAAAATATCTAAGACTCATTCCAAATTCCAAGTTAAAAATAAAATAAACAAATTGCCCTAAAAGACCTCCGCACTTTCTTGAAACAAACAAGTTGGACAAGTGAACCTTACAGAACGACTGTAACCAACCCTGGCTATTGTTTTCCGTATGACCCATTTGATATTACAAGTGATATTACAAGTGTTAATGCTTACATGAAAATGCTATATTACTGATTGAATGTGCCTTGTACATAACTGCAATCAACATGGTCATAGGCGCCACAATTCGCTGTGCAGAGTTGCGTCCCTTGAGCACGCCCCAAACCTAGAATCGGCTCGAATCCCGGTTCGCCCCGATTATGTTCCTAGGTTTTCAGAGCCATACCCGTGTTCGTGGATTTTACGAGCGTCTGAGACCTTCGTCACTTCGGGCTTTCCTCCCACATTTAGCTGACACGCAATGATATAATTTGAATATTGTTAAAAGCGGCGTTAAACCAAACTCACTCACTCAGTAACCATGGCCAGACTCACCTCTCTTTTGGCCTTAGCTGAATGTATTGAAAAGTATACACATGGACCCCGTCCTGTAGCAATCACGTATGCAACGCTATGTAACAATATCAGTCATATTCCAGATGTCAAACAATGCTGTACGTCAATATTAATATGTTTCAACATACTGTCAGCATACCTAAATAACAGCAACAATAACGACAATAACATAATAACAAAAGCAGCAACAATTTAACGTCACGATTGCACCTGTTCAACTTGCTTTACACGAATGCACATGTTTTAACAAGTTTTAAGCCACTTCATTCAAAGCAAATTCCCCTCCCCTTTCAGACTCAACACCCAATTCATGGGGACACTAGGTCACGTTACAGACCGAGACTACATTCATATCAACGAGTGTGTGTCAACTTTGTCCGGGCTGTTAGCTGCTGTGAAATAAAACTTACATAAGTGCATCGAGTGTAATCTCTCGTGATGTGCTGACAACAGTGTGGCAGCTAGTGGAAGACCTGATGCCTGAACACCCGAACACAGTGATATCGTGAATAGAGATTTACTTACCCTGCGATTCCAGGTAGGCTCGCATCATTATCGTTGATTAGACACATACCTTGATGTATGTGGCGTTAATTGTATTGTGTCTGATGTCATGGCCCAGTGGCCGTATTTAGTAATGTCAGCTAATTTAATGGGGACCGCCTCCGTGGTCTAGTGGTAGAGCGTCCCCCCCCCCCCCCCCCCCCCCCCGGGGAGCGGAAGGTCCGGGGTTTGATCTCCGGCCGCGTCATACAAGAAGACATTGGAAGATGGAACGTGTTGTTACCCTGTCTGGCGCCCGGCACCAAAGGGCTAAAACAAGGACTGGTCGGCTCGGAGTCAGTATAAAGTGTCTGAGTTGGGTATTCATGTTAAACTGCGGCATGGTATCTCAGTGGGCTTGCACTATAAATCGGCATCAGTCCGGACTAGTACAAGCAACCTCACACACACACGTGCATGCACGTCCATATATAAGTGCAATAATCTTGGACGCGACGTTAAACCCCATTTCACCTCACCTCACCTCTTTATCTGTCAATAGTGTGTTTTTTCATTTATAATGCAGCATTAGAAAAATTATAATCTTTTACATTCTTTTTGCGCCGAACATGGGGCAATAATTTTCCCGATCATACAAAATCGGATTATTGTATTGAGAAGTACCCCACACACCACTATCATGTCGAACTGTGCATATCTGTGCTAAATAGGGTTTTCGACATTTTGAAGGACAAGCGATGTTTGAACAGTCGTGTGTATGTACACACCTTTTCTCGTTACGTTTTCCCCATCCAATCAATGTTTACATAGGAGTTGAAAGCACCCATTGGGATCGTTTCGTAGTTGTATAAAAGTAGACTCGCAATGGAGCACATCACGACACTGAAATAGAATCTGCAAATACAGCGTTTAGAAATAGTCAGTCACTCAGTCGTTCTGCACATAACATATGGGGTGGAAACACGTGGTTGTGTTCTAGTGCAGGAGTGGTTAGTGTTGTTAACGCAATGCCAGCAATATCCCAGCAGTAGTCCAGCAATATCCAAGCAGTAGTCCAGCAATATCCCAGCAGTAGTCCTGTAATATCCCAGCAGTAGTCCTGTGATATCCCAGCAGTAGTCCAGCAATATCCCAGCAGTGTTCCAGCAATATCCCAGCAGTAGTCCAGCAATATCCAAGCAGTAGTCCTGTTATATCCCAGCAGTAGTCCAGCAATATCCCAGCAGTAGTCCTGTGATATCCCAGCAGTAGTCCTGTAATATCCCAGCAGTAGTCCTGCAATATCCCTTCAGTAGTCCAGCAATATCCCAGCAGTAGACCAGCAATATCCCAGCAGTAGTCCAGCAATATCCAAGCTGTAATCCAGCAATATCCCAGCAGTAGTCCAGCAATATCCAAGCAGTAGTCCAGCAATAACCCAGCAGTAATCCTGTAATATCCCAGCAGTAGTCCAGCAATATCCCAGCAGTAGTCCTGTAATATCCCAGCAGTAGTCCTGTAATATCCCAGCAGTAGTCCTGTAATATCCCAGCAGTAGTCCTGTAATATCCCAGCAGTAGTCCTGTAATATCCCAGCAGTAGTCCTGCAATATCCCAGCAGTAGTCCTGTAATATCCCAACAGTAGTCCTGTAATATCCCAGCAGTAGTCCTGTAATATCCCAGCAGTAGTCCTGTAATATCCCAGCAGTAGTCCTGTAATATCCCAGCAGTAGTCCAGCAATATCCCAGCAGTAGTCCAGCAATATCTCAGCAGTAGTCCTGTAATATCCCAGCCATATTCCTGTAATATCCCAGCAGTATTCCTGTAATATCCCAGCAGTATTCCAGCAATATCCCAGTAGTATTCCTGTAATATCCCATCAGTATTCCTGTAATATCCCATCAGTATTCCTGCAATATCCCAGCAGTATTCCTGTAATATCCCAGCAGTATGCCTGTAATATCCCACCAGTATTCCAGTAATATCCCTTCAGTATTCCTGTAATATCCCATCAGTACTCCTGTAATATCCCATCAGTATTCCTGTAATATCCCATCAGTATTCCTGCAATATCCCAGCAGTATTCCTGTAATATCCCAGCAGTATTCCTGCAATATCCCAGCAGTATTCCTGCAATATCCCAGCAGTATTCCTGTAATATCCCATCAGTATTCAAGTAATATCCCAGCAGTATTCCTGTAATATCCCTTCAGTATTCCTGTAATATGCTATCAGTATTCAAGTAATATCCCATCAGTATTCCTGTAATATCCCAGCAGTATTCCTGCAATATCCCAGCAGTATTCCTGTAATATCCCAGCAGTATTCCTGTAATATCCCAGCAGTATTCCTGTAATATCCCAGCAGTGTTCCTGTAATATCCCAGCAGTATTCCTGTAATATCCCATCAGTATTCCTGTAATATCCCAGCAGTATGCCTGTAATATCCCACCAGTATTCCTGTAATATCCCAGCAGTATTCCTGTAATATCGCAGCACACACACGTTCACGAGGTGAAGGTCGTTTCGTGTGTCACGTTTAGCTGAATATATTCAGGGCATTCATGGAACTCAGCTTTACGGACAGTAGAAATAAAGTTCATAAAGGTGAAGGTTAATGGAGAAGATGTGTCAAACACACCCATCAGCTTTCTTGTTGACACTCCCCTGTTCCTGCTGCAGTCGACTCAGCTAGACAGTGTAGAAGTCAGGGGACCGAGGGGATATTGCTAAAAGCGTCCCCCTAAGTTCTACAAAGAGTCTAATTTACATATGTTCTGCAACCCCCTTTTAAATGCAGATTTACGCAACACATTGTTTACAATTGAAACATAGACTAACATCTAGTCTCTGAAATGAACTATTTTACAGAAAAAAACAGTTGTTAAATTATAGTTATAAAATATAATATAAAGGAGCTCAGAGACTTTCTTCATTTTCAACCTGATACAGCAGTAATCTAGACTTGCTAAGTATTATAGACTTGCATGGCTATTGGCCATACTTGTTACAAGTTCTGTATGACAGACTAAATTGAAACACTGTGTGTTAACATGAAGTCGCTCAAACATAATTGCGACTGAAATTCGTTCAAAATTGTTAAAATAAGGACAGAAGTGAGGTCTTTGGCTGTCGTGTCTTTCAGTATAAACATAATTATTTTCTGGTTTAATCAAGATCCGTTATTGTCCAAAATTAATATGTACCACACTTAGGAAAACATAAAACGACCTCGACCCATTACATCGTTGTGTTTACACGCTGAGATGCCTGGGTGGTGAGAACGCTCATAAAGGATGTCTAGACTTAACTTGGAATAATTACAATATATGTCACTGTGCCCAACGTTGAATATTGTCGTCCAGCTGGCGCGATATCGGACACCCAGGTGCGGGAGGCATGTGAGGTGTAGAGATATATACTTTTAGTGTACAAATATTGATCACCATGACGCACGGCAGCTTCGTGATATTGCAACACCATGAAACACATGAAATATTGATCAAATATGATATCAACTAATGCTTGTTTGTGAGCATGCCATGTGGTGTAAACAGTTTCGAGAGGCCGACCCGTGCCTGCTTCATTTGAGATTGAGGTTATGAGAGTGAGTGAGTATGTGAGTTGGGCTTAACGGTGCTGTTGACAGTATTCTAGGTATATCAAGGCGTGTCAGCTTAATGTGGGAGGAAAACCCGCAGGTCTCAGACGTTTACCACCAAGGAGCAGGAGTATGGTCCTGAAAAACTTAGAAACATAATCGGGGCGAACCGGGATTCGAACCCACAATCATAGGTTTCTGGAGTGCCCAAGGGACGCAACTCTGCACAGCGAATTGCGGCGAGATTATTGTAATTCATTTTTCAACGCGAGTCTCCTAGTCTTAATTTCATCCCGAAATTGCCTCCGAAGTGCAACATAATATACTGGCCTTTTGGAAGACGATTATACCCGTTGAGTGCCAGAACCTTTCCAGGACATTCTTCGCATTCGTTGGTGGGGGATATGTTACAAAACCATGCTTATTTTACTTGTCACAGTGAAACAAGTTGCTCAAGTTTTTGTGGATATGCCACCATTACATTAGGAGGAGATAGTATGAGTGATTTTAGGAAACAGTGTGTGGTTGAGGAGGAGATAGTGTGTGTGATTGTGGAGGAAACAGAGTGGGTGGTCGAGGAGGAGAAAGTGTGTGCGATTGTGGAGGAAACAGAATGGTGGTTGAGGAAGGGATAGTGCGTCATTGTGGAGGAAACAGAGTGGGTGGTTGAGGAGGAACAAGTGTATTGGTTGTGGAGGGAAAAGAGTGGGTCGTTGTGGAGGAGATCGTGTTGGTTTTGATCTTATGGAATGTTTTTCGCAAGTAAAGTCACCGAAGCGGATTTGACGCGAACCTTGCATTACTTTTGTTTTAATCTTCACACCACTTTGAACAAAACTATTTTTAGGCAGTCCCAGGATTTTTAGCAATTAATGTGACGTCAGTCGTGGAGACACGCCAGATGTCTAGTTCTCTGACGTTTGTAACACACAAGGGGTATTCGAGAAACCACATATCCGCGTTTTATAACCTTCATTTGCATTTACGAGTACTTGGAAATGCTTTCTGACCTGGATTCAGAGAAGCTGATTATGAATTTTAGCGCTGGGGTATTGCGGATGCTTAAAGAGGAGTCGTTATTGAAACCTCTGATCGGCCAAAGAATCCCAAGCCTTTCCTTAAATCATGTTAGAATCATGTCCACTCTTTTTTATGCAGATACAGATACAAATTGTTGAGAGGTGTTGGTCGTCCCAGCTTCAACACCATCCATTCACGCCAACAACGACGATGTCTTGCCGGAGCTTTACCTCAAGGTCAGTGTTTCCGCCGTATTCATCGTTAATAAGTATTTATACATCTAAGTAATGCAGTTTTTAATTAGTTAAAAAAAAGTATATATCATCCATTGTGTTATGAAAAGTAATTACTTTTAAATGAAACTGTACGTAAACAATGTAATGGTATAATTTCAATCAAAGCTACGTAAATGTTAGGCATCAGCTCCAGTCGAAACTGTACCTTACTGGGGAAAGGGACGCGAGTCTTTTGAGTGAGTGGGGGAGTGTATGAGAGTGAATGAGTGAGTGAGTGAGTGAGCGAGTGTAGCTTTGGACAGTATTCCAGTTTTAGCTTCATGTGGGAGGGACCGCCTCCGTGGTCTAGTGGTAGAGTGGTAGGTTGTTACCCTGTCTGGCGCTCGGCATTAAGGGTCTAAAACAATAAAACAAGGACTGGTCGGCCCGGAGCCAGTATACTGTGTCTGAGTGGGGTATTCATGCGGCATGGTATCTCAGTGAGCTAGCACTATAAATCGGCAACAGCCCAGAATAGTACAAGCAGCCCCCCACTACGTTAAACCCAATCACACCTCATGTGGGAGGAAAGCGCGAAGTAATACAGGCCTTAGACGTTTAATACTTTGGTAAAAGCCAGGCACACGGGTTTTAGTGCTGGAAAACCTAGAGCGAAACGGAATTCGAATCCACGAGCTTAGGCTATGACACACAACTGTGCATAGACGACTTGACACCCTTGTCCAACTATTGAGACTACAATACTGTAATGCTTTGAAGTTAAACGACATGGCCACGACAAGGTAACTAATGGACGTTTATATGTTACAGCTCCACTCGAATAGTGAGGAGCCGGTTCAGCGAGTCATGGTACTCCTTTGGGCGAACACGGCCCACTATGCTAGAACTCGACAGCCACTTCCGGAACATGTGGAGAGATGACCTGAGGGAAAGGGAGACAATCACAAGGCGGCTTGAAGGCTTTGGCCAGAATCTCCCAGGTGCTGTTGGGTTCACTTCAAGCCGTTATTTTTCCGTACACGAGGCAGGCTTTACAAATAAACATTAAAAGTCACCATTATATCAAACGATTGCATGGAATAAGTGACAGGCGGAGTGCATGGCTATTAATTTGTGTTTTTGTACGTGGCCTTTCCCGAAGTGTTATGATTTGAATTTTGTATTTTTTCAAATTCTAATGTGTAAGTGAATGAGAGTATTATTCAAGCCACATTAGACCTGTAACACGAAGAATGGGCATCACCCACTGTACCCATGCGCGTACACCTGAGACCACATTTTGTGGTCTCTGTGTACACTTCAAACACACATTTGTCAAATTCAAGTTGTAAATGGAGTTTCCGAAACAAAGATGCAAAATGATCAATGTATGATTAATGATTTGTTTTTTTTGTAAGGTCAAAGGAATAATAATCGCCATTTTATGTTTCTTAAACAGGAAACAATGAAGAAGAGTATGAACGAGCAGAGGTAACAGAGGCCGATTTGGCCGCGAAACTGCACGTGACCAGCCTTGACTTTAACATATCGGAGAACACCAAGCAGCACCACACTGACATGTATGAGTGCACAGAGATCAGAGGTCAAAATGAGGCAGAGCTGGTGGTCAGGAGAGGTCAATCCTTCCTCATCATCATCACTTTCGACAGACCTTACGACATTGACAAGAACGACATCACGCTCTTATTCAGCCTAGGTACGTATGTATGACACGCTAGACTGGAACCGTCGCCATTTGATTGTAATGTTAATAATATCTCATATGCCGTTCAAGAACGTTACGTTTAACCCAACTTTTCCTCATCTCACTTCACCCCATCTTAAAGAAGCAAACAAAATGCAACAAGCTGGTTTTAAAACATGGTTCCAAAATAGTCTTCGTTTCCATTTTTTATGTATTCACAATAAAATTCATTTTTGAAAGAGAAACTGATTTCATGCTAACATGATATGCATGGATAAACGCCATATTGCTATGATAACTTCAAATTAAAGTTGTAATTTTATATCATGTGTCTAAAATATAAGTATTTAGGTGGTTTGTTTGTTTGCAAACCCTGAAAGTGGTACCTACCTGACCTTATATATTTGCATATCTATCCGCAAATGACCCCGAAGGATGCCGAGAGATGAATGATCGAGCTTTATGTAGTTCGAGACAAAAGGTGTGACGGCATTTACCTTATTGTCCACATAATTTCCTACCTGAAATACAGTTGCAGTCGCCTTAAACAATACATCGAAACAGCCGAACTCAAGTTTACCAGGTTTCACTGTATGATACCTAGTACTTAAGTGGCAAGCGGGGAGTCCAGTGGTTGCTGGACTTGCTCCTCACGAAGGAGAACTGTGTTCGATTCCCCTGATGGTCCATTGCTGATGCATTGCTGTTTAAAATGGTACTGTTGAACAGTCCACTAATCTTGTACCTCTATGCAGCGTCTGACGAAAGCGACAGCACTGTAGAGGAGCTCTTCAAGGTGACGGAAGACCAGGACACGTCTTACAAGCCGCGGAGATGGGGCGCCACCGTCGTCAAGAAGGGAGGTAACTCCTTGACGGTAGAAGTGTTTTCACCCGCCTCTTCCCCAGTCGGTGTGTGGGACTTGATTGTCAGGACCATTGTTGGCGTCGAGAACGGCAAAGAACTCGTCTGGCAGTACAACCACAACGAGGACATCAACATCATCTTCAATCCTTGGTGTAAAGGTGAGACACAATAGTCACACAATCAGTGTTTCAAATCACCAATTGAGATTCAATCGTTATATTATCTTATCTAGTTGTTAATACCAAAACATAACGAGTTTAAGTTGTTTAATTAACGTTTTGATTTACGGTACTGTCACTGCTGAATATAAAACTTGATGAAAAACATTATTAAAACAGTAGTTACCTTCATGTCATGGGCACGGTGGTCAAGTGGACTACAGCGTAAAATTTGCAAAGCAGAATTGCATCCTGCAGGTGTTCCCGGATCCGCTGATCAAAGGTTTGAATCTCAGATTTACCTTAATTATGATACATGGTTAGTCAGCACCATGGCCGTGCGTCGTCGTTCAACCACAGTGGTGCACGTGGGTTAGGGCTCTCACCCCACATTGAGCTGACGGACCCTGATAACTTGCTCAGGGAAATAATGATAACCCCATCTCAGTACGTTTCCTCCCTACTGCTTAATCTGGCCGTGCTCGTGCCTGTGCAAGTTACAGGAACATATAGCAATATTTAAGCTTTTCAACGCCAGGATGTATCTGTACAAGAAATGATGGATGTAGTATGTTGTAGGCAGTAAAATTATCTGAGAGAGGAGTTCGGTATTTTGGACCCCTCCCTTTCAAAAATGCTGGATCCACCCTTGGTTGAAATACACGTTCTGTCTGTACAGAGGATGTGGTGTACCTCCCTGACCCCCAGTGGCTGGCGGAGGCGGTGGAGAACGACTCGGGGGTGTTGTACCAGGGGACACACGATAACATTAAGGGCAAGCCCTGGTACTTCGGGCAGGTGAGTTACTGGTCGGGTTTGCTAAGTTACTGACTGGCGCCTCGCGCAGGTGATTTGTTTGTTGTTCCCTGTCTGTTGGGTAACTGAGTTTGTAGTGTCCGGATGTAATGAGTAACTGAGTGTGTAGTGCCCGGATGTGATGAGTAACTGAGTGTGTAGTGCCCGGATGTGATGAGTTACTGAGTTTGTAGTGAGCGGATGTGATGAGTAACTGAGGGTGTAGTGCCCGGATGTGATGAATTACTGAGTTTGTAGTGCCCGGATGTGATGAATTGTTGTCCCCAAGATGAGTTACAGACACTAGCCATGTAGGCTGCTTGTAGTGCCTGGATCTCGGAAAAAAAGAGTACGCATTATTAGATTTGAAATACTAAAATGTGATCCTGTCCAATCTCGAACAGATCGTACAAACCCAATCGACAGACATTTTTGCTACACATCATATCATCTCAAATCTAGTAGCTAACATGTAAAGTGAGATAATTTCTGGTCCAGACTCGATTATTTACAGGCTGCAGTATTGTAGCTGGAATGTTGCAGAGTGCAAATAACAAACAATAATTAGAAGACGGAAACCTTGTCAAAACGATTTTACACAATGAAAAACTGTGATGAGAATTACCAATGCAGGACACAAGCAAGCTGCATATATTGCATATAGGTTTCCTTTCATCACTATAATACATGAAGTAACAAGTTGTGGTTCTCAATAAAGTCATTAGATACTAGGGTTGACTATTGGTCTGGAAATCACTATTGCTATAACTATTGATATTGAAAGAAACTATTGCGATAACTATTGGTATTGCAAGCAACGTTAACTATTGCGATAAATATCGATAGTTTTCAGTGTATCATTTTAGATTGATTTCAGAGTTGAATTAAATCTTGGAACTGAAGTTTCCTTTGAATGTGATAACAATAACAACAAATAAAAAGTAAAGTTTGAGATATGACTGATTTGTGTTTTTTTTACCCTAATAATTTAAGAAAAAGAAAATTCATGTGTAAATTACTACCACTCATGATCAAAAGAAAAACAAATTTGTACAGCATTGCATGTAATTAATTGATGTATTTAATACAATCGAAACTATCGATATTCCTAACTGAAATCGATACTATTGATCGGAAACTGATTTAACAATCGATTTATTGACTTTAAGTGCTTCCCAATAGCAATATATCGATATTTCGATTTATCGTGACACCCATCCATGTTTCAGTGATAGGATCATCTGTACGAGCCATTAGGGATATAACCTCTCGTCACAGCTTGATGTAAATATCTTTGTAATTTAAAACAAACATCTTGTGTCTTATAACCCCCATCCCAAAACTTGCGGTTGCCATTTTGTTTATTTTCAGTCCTCTTAAGGGACGACTTTTCGAATCAAACGTTTTTCTTTAACACAGGAATTTTGCCATTGTGAACAAGACACTTCAATGTGAATATGTCATGGGCACCTAGCCCTCATGCACAAATCGTTTATCCTGTTTGAACATGTTTTATTCAACTGAACTTGAACGGAATTTAGTAAATAAATACCACTCCCTCTTACATAATTACTTTGGTGTAAACATCAAAACTTGAAACAATACAATTATACAGTAAGAAGACTCATGTTACCAAGTCCTTTATCTCTGCCCAGTCATTTCTAAAAAAGCGATCACCGGCCGTCACATACCAAAAACGTTAAAAGATGGTATATAAGTGCAATAAACCCCATTTCCCCACTTCTTAAAATGTGTCATGAAGAAAAAGAATATAATGCGTATTTAATGCTTATGTGTGAGACACCTGTATGGACGGTGATTACAGTGGTAATAGATAGCCCTTGACGACGGCATTCGTTTGTGCGGATACACCTATGTGTTAGTGTCTCTTCAATCAGGCGATGTAGTGCCCGTAATGGGCCCTGTCGCTGTTTCCATTTGAAAAGGCATAATTTCAAACACGTCACAACGCATGCGATATAATGTTTTGACAGACAACATAACAATACAGAATGGATTATTGTGATCACAGCTGGCTCACACAGCAAAGCAAAAAGTGAGCTTCTTTTCATTCTGTTAAAGGGGCGAGTGGGTAGCCTAGTGGTTAAATGGTTCGCTCCTCCCGCCGAAGGCCCGGGTTCGATTCCCCACATTGGTACAATGCGTGAAGTCCATTTCTGGTATTGGTTGAAATATTGCTAAAAGCTGCGTAAAACCATACTCACTCATTTTGATTTATATGTTCTTTCGCAACTTGTATGTCACATTTAGAGTTAGTGAGTGAGTAAATTGTCGTAAATGCCATTCTGAACAGCTGTTTAGTAATATCAAGGAGTGTCAGTTAGTGTTGTAGGAAAGCCCAGTTTGAATCTCCTCTTCAGCAAATATCTGACGTCTATACTTTTGATAAACATCTATACATTTTATTCAGAATCCACAAAACTGACTTTTGGCGAAATAGAATAGTATTTCATTATCTGGCTAGTAACTACATAAGTCGTTATTTCGCAGATGTCTCAAAATATGTTACAATGTGATATGATGTGATTTGAATCCGTCTGTTGCTTCTGACTCCTCTGAGGACCAGGTTTAATGCGTTAATGATTTGAACCCGTCTGTTATTTCGACCATGTTTAATGCGTTAATGATTTGAACCCGTCTGTTATTTCGACCATGTTTAATGCGTTAACGATTTGAATCCGTCTATTGCTTCTGACTCGTTTGAGGGGCAGGTTTAATGCGTGAATGATTTGAAACCGTTTGTTATTTCGACCATGTTTAATGCGTTAATGATTTGAATCCGTCTATTGCTTCTGACTCGTTTAAGAACCAGGTTTAATGCGTTAATGATTTGAACCCGTCTGTTTCTGCTTCTGACTCATTTGAGTACTGCGTTTAATGTGTAACAGTTTTAATAATTTGAACCCATCTGTCTGACCAGTTTGAGGACGGCATCTTGCACGCCGCTCTCCACCTCGTCAGAAAAGGCTTCAATTTCAAGATGACCCGCGCCATGGGGAACGCCAGCAAGGTTGCCAGGGCTCTCTCCAGGATAGTGAGTACTCTCGCCAGTCACAATAGCCTTATCATTTTCTACTTCATGTCCAACAAACAATCATTTTATGTTGCACATTCTGTCCTTGAGTCAGTTTAGTAAAGCTCTCCTGCGGATGGATATATATCCCGTCACCTCTTGTATTCATCTCGGCCTGTCATCCTCATACACTGGTTGATGTTTTGGTCAGGTGAACTTCGACGACGACAACGGCGTCCTGCATGGCAGATGGGAAGGCGGTTTCGCCGGTGGCACGTCTCCGGACGCTTGGATGGGGAGCGTGAAGATCCTGAAGCAGTACATGTCCACCGCAAAACCGGTCATGTTCGGACAGTGCTGGGTCTTTTCCGGGGTCCTCGTTACAGGTAGGGGGACAATCAGTGTTGTTTTAAACGGGAACAGGCATTCGCTGTGTAGAGTTGCACAACAGAAACCTTTGAGTGTGGGTTCGAATCCCTGTTCGCCCCGATTATGTTTCTTGGGTTATCAGCACCATATCCGTGCTTGTCGATTTCACCAAAGTGGTTAACATCTAAGACCTCCCACATTTAAGCTGACACACTGTGATGTTACTGGAATACTGTTAACAATCATGAAATAATCATTTATTTGCTGTGAGCATAAAATCTTTGTGTATGAGTTTCGAACTTCACCGTGCATTCACTAAACTCCTCACTGTGCCATCAGTGTGCCGAGCCCTGGGACTGCCCTGTCGGAGTGTCACCAACTTTGAATCAGCTCACAACAGTGACAAGGAACGTTTAAGCTTCGACTCGATCTTCCGACCCAACTATAGCGGTCGCTATGTCAATACATCCAAGGACAGAGTGTGGTAAGTGTTTGGGGCTGTGTCCTGGGTACCGTTGTACAAAACAACCTTAGCGCTACGATGGGCGTAAGTCTACGTTAAGGTATGGGAGTTACGATCACCTTAGCGCTAAAATCGCTTTGTACAACGGCGCCCTTGGAACAGTTGCAAGATGGTGCTGTTATGGACCGATTTAGGAGTTTATGTGAGAGAAAGAAAAATAATTTCTGCCACTGTTTCATGACATACAGTTATTTTCTCTGAAAGGAGGAACTATGCATTTTTTAAGACATCTTATAGTTTTTATTCTTTTTGCCTGGAAAAGAATATTCCAAATTATTTAAGATAAACTATCCCACAGAATTGAAATAAATGGTGGGTGCATAAATATCGGGTAGCAGGAATATGGGCTTATGGATGGGTAAGCATATCCAGTACTCCATGCTTGTCACAGGAATGGTATTTACAGGCTCAGTGATAGCCTATCATCGTGCTTATTTACATGTAACCGTGATACACTAGATGACTGCGGCATAAAACAATAAAACCTTAAAAACAATGTGTTTTATTTACTTTTTAACCCATTTACGTTAAGTAAAGAATATTTTCATGTCCCAGGAACTTTCATGTCTGGAACGAGGTTTGGATGAGTCGCCCTGACCTTGGAAAACAGTTTGACGGGTGGCAGGTTATTGATGCCACGCCCCAGGAAGCTAGTGAAGGTAGGAGAACACGCTGACACAGCCATTGATACTTGACAAACCCCTAAAGTGTTCACTATGTTCTTAGGGAACATTATATTCCCGAGCCAAGGGAGTTAACTGACTTTAAAAGTTTAGTTTCCACCCTTGCTGAACTAGGCTTGAATTATGGAGTTATGTTTTGGCTGGAGTCTATGCATAGTCCAACCAGAATCGCGTAACGAAACCGACATCTAGCTCGTAAACTGCCGTGCAAATTGAGGTCTATTGCAGGATTTTCAAAACACATGTACTGGGGCGCGGATATTTTCCAAATCTTTACATGTTTTTAATCAAGGTGTTCAAGGTGGAACGTGATTGGTCAATACGAGGGACATACAAGGGACAAAACCCGAAATAGCCACTGGTGGCGCTACGATCGTGCCACGAAACTCCAGCCTAGTTAGGCAAGGGTTGAAACTGGATTTAAAGTCAGTTAACCCCTTGCATTGGGAAAATGAGGGAACATATTTCCTGAACACTCACTGCCTTGTCTGATTGATGTGTTAAAGGCACGTTTTGCTGTGGCCCCGCTCCCGTGGAGGCCATTAAGGAGGGGCTTATCTACATCGGCCATGACACGTCCTTCGTGTTCGCTGAGGTCAATGCGGACTGCGTGACCTGGGAAGAGGACCCAGAGACCCGGAAGCTCAAACAGGTGGCGCGGATCAGGAACAGGCAAGCAGCACACTGCCCGTGATACAAGTCCTCACCAGTCCCCAATAAATGTGTCAGTCCATGTCCAACAACAGTATAGCATGCAGTATACATGTATATGAATAGCATAGGTTCCAGACCGTATATGTCCTTGACTAGCACAGGCCGCCTGTTCTGTATATGTCCTTGACTAGCACTGGTCGGCTGTTCTGTATATGTCCTTGACTAGCACTGGTCGGCTGTTCTGTATATGTCCTTGACTAGCACTGGTCGGCTGTTCTGTATATGTCCTTGACTAGCATTGGCCGCCTGTTCTGTATATGTCCTTGACTAGCACTGGTCGGCTGTTCTGTATATGTCCTTGACTAGCACAGGCCGCCTGTTCAGTATATGTCCTTGACTAGCACTGGTCGGCTGTTCTGTATATGTCCTTGACTAGCACAGGCCGCCTGTTCTGTATATGTCCTTGACTAGCACAGGCCGCCTGTTCTGTATATGTCCTTGACTAGCACAGGTCGGCTGTTCTGTATATGTCCTTGACTAGCACTGGTCGGCTGTTCTGTATATGTCCTTGACTAGATCAGGCCACCGTCATGTATATGTCCCTGATAAACACAGGGGCATTGCCTAAAAGTCGGGCCGGGCCGGGCCAAGACGGGCCAAAGTGTTACTGGCTAATTACTTCATTATCGGCGATCATACCTACATATAATTGATGCAACATACACACATGACATTAATGAACAATCACCAAACAAAAAAGTGCACCATAAATAAGTAATTCGGAGTAAATCGCTTGACAACCAGAAAGTGGAGCAGTGTGTAAGCGTCGCTGATCTTGGTAACATGTAAAAGAGCAATCGTTAAACGAAGTAAGATTTGAAACGTATCAAATACTTCTAGCTATCGTGATACAAATTTCCATCTGTGAGCATAGTGTTTATTTTTATAGGAACGTTCAATATACAAGTAAATACCACTTTATAATGTCACTGATCGTCGTATTTAAAGCAGACACATTGGTTAAAGTTGACCTCTTCTCCCTATACTCTCAACAGTCACACAGGTGTTCGGTCCGACTTGGCCCGGGCTGTCAAAATCAACTTTAAACTTACATATGTATCATCAAATGGATTCACATCTATAAACTAGTATAATATCTACCTAAATACCACTTTATAGTGTCTCAGATCACTGTACTTAAAGAAAACAAGGTGCTCAAAGTGAAGCATTTTTACTGTATTTTCTTAAGAAAATCTATGTCAGAAGTGTTCGGTCCGACTTGGCCCGGGCTGTCAAAATCAACTTAAACCTCACAGATGTATCATCAAATGGATTCACATCTTTAGATTAGTATTATATCAACCTAAATACCACTTTATAGTGTCTCAGGTCGCTGTACTTAAAGAAAACAAGGGGCTCAAAGTGAAGCCCTTTTCCCTTTACATTCTCAACATAGTCTCTATCAGAAGTATTTGTCTTGTGTTGGGTCCGACTTGGCCCGGGCGGTCAAAATCAACTTAAACCTCACAGATGTATCATCAAATGGATTCACATCTTTAGATTAGTATTATATCTACCTAAATACCACTTTATTATGTCACGGTACATCGTATTTAAAGAAAACAAGGGGCTCAAAGTAAAGCATTTTTACTGTATTTTCTTACTAAGGCCGCCCTTAGTTTCTTGGAAATGTCCTGGCTACACTTCAAGGTTTCGTGCTCAACAAATATATATGAATGTATATGATGTCTCATCTTGATGTACTTTAATAATGCAATTCGACAAAGATGATGTACAGATGCCTCGACAACATTTTTCACACATAAATGACTTCAACCTTGGCTCTCAACTAGTACAGGTAAACATGGCTATTAATGCTCATGTGTGTCAGGTTGCCTTAACCTCGCCGTCGTATCTGTACACAAAACAAGTGCATAGTCTAAACTAGGCTACAAATGCATTTCTTCAGCCGTTTCAATAATGCAGTGCGCTGTCACGGCATGCTGCGTAGGTCTGTACAGCACAATGTATTTTATTAGTAATTGGTCGATCCTTCATAAATCATATTTTTGCCATTCATTTCACATATGCCTCGGTAGAATTGAGGTAGGGGAAGGACTTCTGGTCAGATAACAAGGTATTCAGATATCCAGAAACTCGTTTATCCGGACAACATTTTAGAAAAAGCAATTGTCCGGATAAGCGAGGTTAGACTGTGTAGCGCGTGATACATGACAAAACAGACGTGTTAGGACCTGATTCGCACTTGCTGAAGGGATACCAATGGACCCTGATCATAATACATTGGTTGCTTATTATTATTATTATTATTATTATTATTAAACATATTGTATTGTCCAAAAAGACAAAGGGATTGGGCACAAGTGCAGCACTTATTACCACCTTCTCCATATATACAGTTATACATTATATTGCATAATGAAAATTAACAATTTACAGTTGAAGCATCACATTGTGGAAACATAGTGCGCAATATAAATTTATATACAGTGCTCATATGAAGGATATGTACAATGTGCTGGAAAGTGAAGACAGTGTGCATCTCATACATATGCTAATATTATACATGTTAGTGTTGTATATAGATTTAACAATATTAATGATTAACAGTTTGGAAACAATAATATGCTAGCTACTGAATCTGTTAGTCGTTTCTATAAATTTGTGTACAGACAAGAATATTTTTGTATTCAGGAAAACATCTAAGTTTGGATCACAAAAAAGAATACTATTTAGAGTTTTTTGTCCTCCAAGATTATCGATAGCTGTCAGTAATGTCTCCCTAATATCATCATATAAGGTACATTGGACGAAGAAATGGAATGAATTTTCACAAGGAGCTCCGCATTTACAGGAAATAGTATCAGATAATTAACACGAAACAGGTTGGAATTTAGTGTGCTACAATTGTGTCTCAGTCTAGTGTGCAATATGGTTGTAGATCTCTCACCGCAATTATAGTGCATAGGTGGTGATGTAGGCTGCTCAGATGCGACAGCTTTAAAATATGATATTGACGGACTATCCCTGATTCCTGATGATAGATTATTCCATTGGCCTAATGTATCTATAATATAAGACCTTTTAAACGTAGATGTCCGTGCAAATGGAACTACAAAATCATGGCGGTTTCTGAGATTATAACTGACCTTCTGTGATACAGCTGGTGGTATAAGATCAGTTACATATGAAGGACATGGCTTATTTATTATTTTATACATAGTTACAAGTTTGTTGACGTTTCTTCTATACGCTTAGATATATGTATCCACATCACACACGCCTAGAACAAGTACACTTATTTGAATATTACTAATATTACATGAATGTTACTGAGCAGTCAGTTAGAGTTTATATCTTTGCGCTTAATCAGCAACATTAAGCCTTTCACGTATATTACAACTTTGTAATTTAACTTTCCTTTCCAGAAATACCATAGCATGGTGACAGAGATGAACTTCTACCCCAAGACATGTGTCATTGACTAAAATCTGCTTTGTTAATTTGATTTCAAGTGTTAGCCTTCACCTGGAAGGAATTTATATTTGTATTATTTCAATTTTTCTTTTCATATATATCCCTCTGAATTTTGGGTTTTGAAATAGCATGTCGCAGAAATAACTCCTGTTGGACCCTTAGACTTGCAAGAATACTCTAATCATTGGCCGAAACATGCCCCATTTGTGCTTCTTGCTTTGTCAGACCAAACCCATACTGTTGAATTTCTCAAAAGTTTTAAAAGGGTTAAAGCTATTTTTGGAAGTATAAATGGGTTGATTGGTGACTACCACAGAAGTAGCAAATGGAGTTATGTCCGATGAAATTCTCTGTTTTGACTTGTGCTAATCGGGTTTAACAACTAACTTGCCTTTGCGTGTGTTTGTTCCACCGGTGGTGCAGGATACGCTCACCTCTATGCAAACACCTGTTATCCTCACTGTTTGATAGTAGTTTATACACGTAAGTATGTATAAGTTGTATGTCATCTTAATATATCACTTGTGTTATCCCTCTTTCTGGGGTGTACTACAAACATAAATCAAAGTTTCTTTTGAGCTATCATGAATATCGTAAAATACTTAGCAAGTCTATGCTTATCATTCCCTCTACTCCTACCAAAGGCTCTAATTGTGGCTAATTGTTACATATTCTTCACGAATACTGTAAATCATGAAACGTGTAACCAAATTAATGCGAGTTTAGACCGCTGGCTAGACTAACATCTAGTTTCTGAAATGAACATATTTAACAAAAATAAAAACAATTGTTTGATTATATTGATAAAATATATAACTGCAGTAATCTAGTCTTGCCAAATATGATTGACTTGCATCGGCTGTATTGGATATATTTGTTTCAGGAACTGTATGACAGGCCTAAAATGCGTCACGAAAGTAATGCGATTAACTTTGCTTTTGACCTGTAAAAGCTAACCAGCAAACGAAAACACGCCGTTGTTTACAATGAACGCATGTCTAAACAAACATCCTTTTTTATATACTTAAGTAGAAGTATCACGATGGACAGTGCATACAACTGTTTGGAAAACAATATCAAGCAATATTTTAGATTCAGAATCAACATACCATGACATAACAGAAACATATATATTAAATTATATATATTCATACTTGCCACTATTCACGATACATTTATTTTACCGTCACTGTTTAAAACTACTCTGAACTACTTGTATGTATAGATCATCTTATTTGTAAACAGTAGGCGGACGTATTATATATCTAACAGTTACAAAAGTCTGCTGAAATCTTCTATTTCTTTATTATGTAAAATGCTGTCAACATGAATAAATGCCAATTATTTCATAACACTCCAAATATAGTTGTCATAATGAACATAGTTTTAAAGTATATTTGTCACATGCAATAATACTGTCCGGTATTATAAGTAATATTTTCAATATCAACCACATATTGTGAGAATCCAGTAAAAAGGAACTGAGTAAAGCAGTGGTAAAATCTATCCATATATACAAA